TGACCCCCTGCGGGGCGGGTGGGAGGGGTCCTCGTCCTGCAGCCACCTGGGGGTGGGGGGTCGCGGCCGAGCGCTCCCACGGTGGGGGGCGCATCTCGGGGGGGAGGCGGGGTACCTGCGAGGGCGGGCAGGGCGCGCGGGGGGGTCCGGGGGCTGAGCGGAGGCTCCGGGCCGGGGGGCGCCGCGCCGCCGCCTTTGTGTGCGGGCGGGAGCCGCGAGCGGCCCCAACTTTCCCTTTGTTGCGGCGCGGGGCAGCGCGGCCGTTGTGAAGGGGGGGGGCGGGGGGAGCGGCGGCGCTTCTGGCGGGAGGACGAAACCCCGGCAGCTCCGGGCGGGCGGCGCTGCGATCCGCTCGGCCCTGCGCGTGGCGCTGAGCCGCGGGGCCGCGAGGAGCTCGGGGAGTTCGGCTCCGGGCTGAGGGAGGCACCGAGCGGGGCGGGCGGGACGCGGGCGTCGAGGAGGAGCTGCTGCCGCTAAGGAGCCGGGCTGCCCGGCGGCGGATTCGTCGCTCCGACGGGAGGAGATGGCGGGTATTCGGGGCGCTCAGACGCGGCTCTGCCAGCGCTCGTTTTCCCCCGTCCTCTTCCCCGTGGATGGCGGAGGCTTCACGTGAGAAAGGGGCTCTGAAAGTGGCGGCGTTCCGGGGCTGGCGCAGCTGTCGCTGTTGCGCAAGTTGTGTTTGTCCCCGGTGCATTTTTTTACCCGGCGGCAGCCGCACGCGCGGCGCTTTACGGAGCGTTGAAATCGGGGTTGAATTCAGCTGTTGCGCATCCGGAGATCGCTGCTGAAGAGTTAAAGGTCGTCGCAGCGGCCGCGGAGGTGCAGCGGCTCCGTCACGCACTGCGACGGAGAAAGCGTGCTGAGCCCCGCGTGCTGCGGCTCGGAGCGGCGCTGCTGTGAGCCGAAGCGCCGCGGAGCACCGCGCTGCCGGTGGTGGTTCGGAACCTGCGGGGAAACCGAGTCCCGCTCGGCTCGGGCCGGCCCCGCTGCTCGCGGTGTGGAAGAGCGGAGCGCGGCTTCCTGCTCGGAACGCGGCGTCGTCTCTCATCTGGGGTTCGCTTGCTTGTAGCTCTTCCCTGCTCACATCTGACAGCTCGCTCTGTTTCCTTCCTTGCTAAGGTGCACTTAGTTGCTGATCGCTTTCTTTAAATGATTGCTTGGTTCTCAGCACTTGTACATGAGCACTTTGGTGGTGACAAAAGTGATCTGTGTTACAGAATCCATCTTTTAAGATCTTATTTTGATCAGCTTCAGGGTTTCCTTTGGTAGTGTTGTGTCCTCCCCCTCCCTTCACCTCTCCCCTCCTTCCCCCATCCTTCCCCTTTGATATCCATTTCTACACTGAAGTTTCTTAGGACTTCTGCTAGGACTCACAGAGTGAGGCGTAGCTGTGTGCTCACCGTCAGAGGGGGTTAGCTGGTTGATTCAGGTCAGCCAGGAAATGGAATTGCTTGAAAATTTGGCTTCTGTCTTACAAGACACACACATGTGAGCTCTTCCACATGCGTGTTTGGTTTCAGGAAGTATGTGAAGGTTTCTGAAGCTGTCCTCAGTTCTGAGTCAAAGCAGAACTCAAGGCTTCTGCCTTCAAGTTGCACGTTAGAAAGGAACAGAGAGGTGCTGAGATCGGTGGTTTGAAAACCTCACCTGTAACGCCATACAGCGATTGAGATGGAATGGGAGAAAAAGGTAATGTATGAGTTCCACAGTAACAGCCAGCTTTGAGCTGCACTGCTTTATGTGCTGTGAAGGACTCTGCCTGATAGCTGAATGCTGAGAGTTCTGTATGGGAATTCTCACTGGTGGATGAGCGTGAAACTTCTGCTGCAGCATCGCTGTGGTTCTCACCTCGAGCGTTCCATCAGGGCTTTGGCTTGGGGTTCTGTGGATTGGTGTTGTTTTTTTTTTTTCCCTCCCCACTGTGGGGAGTGAAACGTCCAGAGCTGCTGTTGTCTCAGCAGCGTGTTGTTAATTGCTGTGTGTGTGAACTCTCCACCTTCCCTGAGCACTTGAGCACAACGAGCAGAGCTGTGCTGGGCAGCAGGAGCCCCCATCGCTCTCTTCAGTGGAAGACCTTCCTCGTTAGCACAAAGCCCTTGATGAACAATTGCTCTGGAGCACGAGCTGCACTAAGCAATTGCAATGTATATATATTATTTAAATCAGAAATCAATGTATTCCTAACATTCAGTGCATCAACCAGAACGTGCTGCTTAGTTCTTCCTGCTTGTGAACACTGCTGCTGCCGCTCTCCACTTCTGAGATCAAAGATGGCTCTGCTGATGCTGCTGAGCTGCACACAGCTTTGCCACCACTGAGTTATGGGCCCCAGCATGCAGACAGCAGCACAAACAGCCCCTTCACCAAGGGGTGATGGAGAAGAGGCAGAAGCCCACGCGGAGTGCTGTGAATGTCATCAAGAAGTAATTCCTCCGCGGTCTGAACAAGTTTGTGGTACGCCTGCAGCGAGTAATTCCTATCACAGCTACTGAGCACAATGCGAATTAAAGTGCTCTTTATTGCGCTGTTTTCTGCTGCTTTTGAAGGATCTTCCCCTTCCCCCCATACTGTTGCAAAGTGATTTAGTAGCATAGGTAGAAACAAAGAAAACTTGGCTGCGTTGTGCTAAATGTTGTTAATTAGCCGACAGTAATGAGCTGACGTTAACTATTACACCTCCAGTGCACGACAAAGATGGGTTTGAAATCTCTGAGGAAGTGCCAGCAGTCTTGTTGGGGAGCACCTTGTGTGGAAGGGATGCTTCAAAAGGAAGCTCACAAGGCAAGTTCCAGTTCATCAGAACAATCGGATATCACACTGTCCTTTTCAGAGCCTCCCTGACAAAGCAGCAGCACAACACGGACAGCTGGCTGTGTGTCTGAGGCTCCTTCCTCCAGCAGTGCACACCTGCCCTCTCCTTGTCCCACTGCTTTGCTCTGTGGTTCAGCCGTGTTTTCAGGTGAAGAAGAGCACTGAAATATGTGGATGCGAGGGCTCAAAGTTGGGATGAGTGCATTTAAAATGTATCTCGTGTAACACGTTGGTCGTGACAAATGTGTGCTCACAATAGGAGATGTGTTTTCAGTGTTTTCTAATTGAAATGCAAAAGGCCGCTTTAAGGAAGGAAAAAAACATCTTCAGACACAGGAATTCCTACAGACCGTTGCTAAATAACTGCTAAAAAACTGCTAAATAACACGCTCCATCTCGGTTTTCAAAAGTTTTATTTGTTATGGTACATCCCAGTGTGTAGTATATATCACAAAACCTTTTACACCCCAGCCTTTAGCCAAGTGTACTGGAAAAGAAGCTTTCTTTTTTTTTTGCTCTGTGTGAGACCAGTGGTGGCTTTGAAAGAATCAATTTAATGGAGAAAAGTTCATTGATGCTCTTTTCAGTCTTTTCAGTCAAACTATAGAAGATCAGGCCAAGAGTTATGGGCCGCAGCTGCATTCTTCCATTGAGACCTTCTATAGGACATCAGCTGAGCTGATTAAGAAATGGTGACCACAGCTATGTGCCCTTGTTCACTCTGAAATGCAAATCCGTCCCCTTGATTGCGAAGCATTGCCTTACAACCATATTTTCCCATTCACTTTCAGTGGGCGGCTTGGGTTTGGTTAAGAAATACTGTCCTGTAATTACATTCTGTCTCTCTCTCGTGCTATGAAAAGCCTCTGGAGAGAATTTGAGGATTTGGTGAGGAAGAGGGACCTTTGCAGCCCATCTAGGTGGGTGTGCAGATGGAGCAACATGTGGCTTTTAGCTAGAAGTACTGACAGGGTATCTTAAGAAGGGCAGTCAGTGCTAGTTTGTGTTCCTGCACTGCTGCTGCTTTGATCCCCCATTTCCTGGAAGAGAGCCGTGGCTCTGAGCTTGGCTCCATTCAAATGATGCACGATAGGTGTGCTTTCCTTCTATTCCAATTGCAAAACTGCACATTGGATGAACTCCTTTCCTTCCTGTGCTGGGGCCGGGCTTGTCTCTCTCCCAGTAACTTCACAACTCACTTCAGAATGTCACTTGTGTTGCACACTCAGTGCATTCCGGCTGGATAACAAGTGCCTTGTCTGAAGAGAATCGCACAGATGTGTGGCTGACTTCTAACTCAAGCATTATCTGCGAAAATACTGAACTGTGGGCCATCAAAACAAGTGATTTGTTCACATACTGCACTTCAGCTTTGGTGTGAATGCTTTTTCTCCCCTCTGTGTGCAGATCTGTGTAATGCTGTCACGTGAGGGCCTTGTGGCTTTTTTGGCTAATTAGGGGTTTGCTTTTATGTTCACTGTGTGGTTTTTGTTGCTCGGCTCTGTAGCTGGCAGTAGGTGGTGGATTTTCTGGGTGGCAGTTCCAAGCATGGATCGGAGCAGCCCACGTGGGTGGATGCACGTCTGTGCAGGTGTGCTGCTGGAGCAGAGGGAAGCCACGGCTCCTGATGAAGGGGTGGTGGCTGGCTTGGGATGTGCCAGAGGGGCCCGATGATGAATATTGAATCTTGGATTGCCTGCTCCTGAAGGAAAAAGAAAAGGTCATCACCTGACGGGGACAGATTGGTGGCTGGCTTTGGGCAGGGCACGCAGGGCGCTCTGTTGTCTGTAAGCTATCAGTGTGCCAGTGCAACATCCAGGAGCAGCACTGCACTCTCGCAGGAGCGTTGCCTTCAGCTTTTCCTCCCAGTGACCTTCATTAGTAGTTACCGGCTCACTTCCTTTTGGTTTCTTAGGGAAACTTTTTCCCCCCTCACTGCCCCTTCCCCTGCTTCTGTCTTGGAAATGCAGAAGCGCCGCGGTGAGGCAGCTCGATGCGCCAGGCTGTCAACTGTGCCAATTAAATGGAAGTCATTGCTAGATATCAGACCAGGTGCATGGGAAGGCTGCTGCTGGCCTTCCTTGATGCCTGGGGAGCGGGAGGAGGCCTGGTGCTGTGGCCCTGCACAGGTTGCACCGGCTCAGCACTGCCGCCCTGCTTTGTCGGTGTGCAGGGAAGCTGCTGGCTGACGGAAGGGAGCTCTTGGATGCTGCATGTGCAACGTTTTGTGTACAAATAAGTCCCACTTAAATATGTGCTCGATGTGCTCAGCAGACAGGAGCTGTAGCTCGTTGCTGCATGCGAGCGCTTCGTTTCCAGGCTCTGTAGCATCGGCCGTGTCTTCTGCAGCTCGAGCAATGTGCTGGGAACAAAAGCGCCGTGCTGAGCACAAAGAGCAGCTCGCTCTGGATAGCTGCTTCTCCCTGAGGAGAACAAAGTTTGGGGTTTTTGTCTGTTTTTTTTTCTTTCCGTATGTGCTTGCACACAAACATGGAAAAAATGTGTCTTAATTAGGGTGTGTGGGGGGGTTATTCTAGGCTTAAAGCAGTATGAATTATTTCAGGGGGAAAAAAAATCCACATAGAGCCCTGCTGTTCTTTTAAAAAAGAAAAACCACCCAAAGAAATCAAACCAGCCAACTGTTTGTGTGCAGGGGTTGGGAGAAAGAGCCCTCAGCCTGGCTTTAATGATGTTTAATCATTCTTTCGAAAATACAAAGGAGGTACTAAAAGCTGTTCAGCTAAGCTTTAGAGAACTAAGAGCTATAACTCAGATTCAGAAGTGATTTAGTTCCCGAGGTAAGTCTATAATCCTACCAGCCATGAGTTAATCTGTCATCAGACTAAGGCTGGAAGCAAATCTATTTAACTAAGAATAGTTAATTCACCTGACTGTGCGCCACGATGAAGACCCTTCTCCCAGCCACGACTTTGTTTTTGACAGGGGATGACGATAGCTGCTGTTTGTCAAAGGCAGGCAGAAAATCATCATTTGGATTTTGTGGTGTGGCGTCTCTGAGCATTTCTGGTTCCTTTCGGATGCTGGGGAAATGAGCGAGTCCCTGAATGTGAGGGCTGGTCTCCTGTTTATTGTAAGGTTGGAAGGCTGTAGGAGCAGCTTTTTGAGGTGGTGATGTCCAAACCAAATCCACCTCTCCCTCTTTCCTTTTCTTCTTGTCCTTTTGTTGTTTCACTTCAAAGCAAATTGATATGATGACCTCTGACCTCAGAGTAGGATAATTTACTAAAATAACAGATGCTGGCGAATTGGGCCTCAGCTGATCTTAAATTCTGTGAGATTATCAGTCTAATAGTTTGCAAATCAGGTTCCCGTTCCCTCATTCTGCCCTGGGAGAACAACGGCGCTGCCCCTCCGACGTTGCCTGTCGTGCTTCAGCCAGAGCTCGACTCACAGCACACAGATGAGGCACAATGCCGTCAGGAAGGGGTGCGAAAAGCTGGAAACCTTCCGTTGTTTTTGTCTTGTTTTAACCTCTGTTCTTCAGATGTCTCAAAGTGGAGCCTCGCAAAACGTGGCTGTGGAATGCTGTACTTCTATTTAATGCTATTTGCCTATTCATTACAGCCGTGCAGATAATAAGCCAAAGCCTGCTGGGGTTGTCTTGTTCTTTATTGCTTCGGTAGATGGCACTGACATGCTCATTTGAGTGATTGCTTTCTGTGTTGTATCAGCTGCGATGTTGTTTTAGATTAGTTAATAGTCTGTCTAAGATTTTGCCAAGATGAGTATGAATTGGAATGGGGGAGGAAGAGCACCAGAGGACTCTACCCATAACTTACAAGTATTCACTGCCCACTCTAATCCGTCTTTGTGTCCATCACAAAGAGATCCTCGTGGACTGTTAGCCTGCTTCTGAGTGCCAGGGCTGCTCAGCTGATCTCTGCTGCAGCCATCGGGTTTGTGTGCGAGCAGTGCCAGGAGAATTCCGTGATGTGCTGGGGCTGTGAAACTTCATCTCATACCTGAAACAGCGCCTGGGTCTGCTTTGCTGTGTTGAAATTGGGTGTGTTTTGCTACCAACAACTGTCAGGTTTTGTGACAGACTGGGGGAACGGAGCGAGATGCACAGGTCAGAATGCAGCCTGTTCTGACCTTGTTAATAAAGCTCTTCGCCAGTGGTGGGAAATTGGTTTTGCTGATGCTGTTGTGAAGGCAGGCAGAATTTGGGGAGAATTTTTCCTATAGAAGGTTGAATGCAGTTCTGAAGTATTTTAAAAATACGGTGTCTGAACTATTACTGTCAGCCTCAACTCTGATTGCATTGCTTACATCAGAGCAGGACCAATGTGATCTACACTGGGTGTGAAAAACAGTGCGTTAAGATTCTGGTCCAAAGAAATAATGGCTTCTGCGTTCTGAAAGCAAACAGAATGAAACAGAGCAGCTTTTTTGGCTGTGCCATAGCAGGCTGTGATGAAAGGGAGTTCTGAGGTGGGGAAAGCGGGCACAGGAGAGAGTGGCTGTTTGTCTGTCTCCTTTGCTCCTGCTTTGTTAGGCCATGTTGAAAGCTAACGGTGCTTGTTTTGCTTAACTTGGACTTTGTTAGTTATGCAGTTATAGCATTCCTTGTTCGCTTGTGTGCAGGTCCTGCCCTGTGGATACGTAAGCACGTGCTCTGCCCGTCTGAGCAACATCACCGAGCGCCTGTCCTTGCTGAGCTGGTCAGTGGTAAGTGGAAGGCAGCTCTGGTGCCAGCCCTGCTGTGCATCCCCGCAGTTTGGGGGTGGTGGGTGTCAAAACTGTAGTCTGAATGGCCAAATAGTGAAAATCGGTGTAGCTTTCACTTGGCATCAGTACTGCTAATTTTACATCAATTAGAGCTCCATTTTGTTTCTTTTTCCCAATTTTGACTTTTATTGTTTTTTACAGGAGTGATGTTCAGGGACAAACATGTACTAAACTTTAAACTGCTCTGCCATGCCACTCTGATGTTGTCAGCCATTAAGGATAACTGTAAATTCATGGATTCTGTGAAGCTGGTTGCTTGGCTCATAAAGTGAAGTTATTTGATACTGGGCAGCTAGCATCTACGTTCAGAGTGTTCTAATGCAAAACAATTCTTCACATTTTATTCTGAAAATTCAACCTATGTGTCTTTGCTGGAGTTGCTTTGGGCTCACACAGATGTAACACGCAGTGGAATTGCTGGGCTGCCTCTTGGCCTTGTTGACTGTTTCACTAAGAGTAGAGGAAGTGAATGGTTTTAATGTGGAGTGCCTCTTTTATACAGTATATTCATCTCATGTTTCCCAGCTTATTAACACTTCAAAAAAACAAACCAGAAGTAAAATCTGTGCAAAGAAAAGGGGAAGGAGGGATTTTATGTGCTTCAATAAACAAAGAAACACGGACTTCCAGAAAGCCACGAACTAAGAAGTGTATAGCATTTTGATAATGCTCTTTAACATGAACAGACATTCTGTAGAAAGTTCCCAGATTTTCATAGAGCTGCAGGATGTGTATATTTTCTTCCTGTTTAGTTTAAGGTGACTGTAAAAAAAGAAATAGCTCTCTTAAACCTGAGTTCAAGAGGTGATCTTACCATGGGAAACAGTAAGGGTGCTGGGGGCATTCCCTGAGATTGTAGGCACTTATTTTTGTCCATTTCTTGCACTTGGACATGAAGCAGTGCAAGTTTGGCATAATAAGGACGTTTATATTTCATCTTTTAATATTTTCTTTTAAATATTCATCTTTTAAATTTTAAAAGCTTTCACACTCCAGTTTGTCTTGGCTGGGGAATTTCAACAGCAGTGCAAATTGGCTAGTTTATAAGGAGAACTCTAAAATGCTTTGGGAAATGAAGAAATTAGTCTTCTCTTTGCCTTCTTGTGATAATTTTCAAACTATAAATTGCCAGTTATGTTCCTAGTGAATGCTAAACTGTACTTGGTTGAAGGGAATCTTCATTAGGAAGGAATGTAGATAGAAGACACGCAGCTTTGTTGGCTGGCATACAGTATGAATTACTGCTCTTTGAGGACAGTCAGCATGCGGTCTTTTGTTTTAGTTAAAATTTCTTGTAGGAAAAGAGAGGGAGTTTTTCTAACTGAGATTTGTCAGCCAGCCTTCCTGGTAAAGGCAGATCATATCTGCAGCTGTGCTGTGTGTGTACAGCAGCTCACCGAGCACAGCAGAATATGGCAGCAAAGGAGACAGGCTCTTGTGTCTGCCCAGGGCATTGCCTTGTTTAGCAGCAGGGCCTGAGAGGACTGTACTTGTTTTCACTCTTGATCAGCACAGGCATGGTAATGGAAAGCTTCAGTTTACATGAGGCTGTAGGTTGAAGAATGTCAGTCATACTTAAAATAATCTGGGATGTGTTAAAACTTTTCCTAAAGTACTCAAAATTCCAGAGTTTTTGGGAAAAGAGAATGTTTTCTCATCACTGCTGCTTTCCTGGGGAAGCTTTCAGTGCTGAATGGAACTCAGCCTTAAGGATTTCTGTGGTGAACTCGGTGGTCAGGTAAACAGTACCTGAAGGAGTTGTGTTACTGTGCTGGTGTTGGTGCTGGGGTGACAAGGGGCCAGCACAGATGGCTGCTGCTGCTGGCAGTGCTGTGCCCAGTGTGCTGTGCTGCTGGGCTCTTCATGTCTATGGCTTGGAAGCTTTGAGATTTGTGCAGCTGTTTGCTGGTGCAAAATGTGAAGCACGTGGGCATCTTCTGGGCCACTTATCCCTGTAGTGGGGTGAGCTTTGGGGGGTGACTGATTCCTGCATTACGGGCACACTGGAGCCCCCAAGCCTTGGAAATGTTAGCAGTGGAGTGTGCAGTGCCTTGGGGAGTCTGTGCTCTTCGTTGTACACTTAACACCAGCTATAGACCAGCACCCACCAACCTGAGCTTCCCAAGGCCTGGAGAAATCACATTTACGCTCACTGAGGATGCCAGGGCAGGACATAGGATATCCACACTCTCCGTGGTTCTGAGTGTTTTTTTTTTCCTCTTTGCAATGACTGAAGATTTCTTTGAAAACTGATTCCTAAGATTATGGGTTGCATGCAAAAGATGAGACTGCTCCTGTCACAGCTGGTCTGAGCTTCCCTTGTCTGGCTGGCTCTAAGCTGTGTTTCATTCATGTGTTCACTCTCCTTGCTTGTCCATCCTGTTCAAAGAAATGCTGTATACCTGATCTACACCTTCCTAGTGCTTTAGTTTTTTGTGTGTCTTTGTGTTAATTTGCCTGTAACTAACTTCAGTCTGTCATCTCAGCTGGAGAGAAGCACCCATGAAGCTGACAACTTTAAATTAAGTGTGCTGAGTAATTGGAAAAAATTGGTAAAGCACCTTTTATTTTCAGTGATACAGCATTGCTCCTGATATTGGGGGCCAGCATCATAAAACAGGAGGCATTACTTTTGGAGCAGCCCTCACACATGGGTGGCTCTTGCCAGCAGAGGAATGGGACTGTCTTGAGCAGGAAATTTTTGTCATCAACCGAGCAGCTCAGATTACATGTTTTCATTAGACATCTGGTTGGATAATTGGCTCCTCACAAGCAGGTAGGTTGAAATAATCAGAGGAATAAAGTTGTGAGTAGTTGTATGCAATTTTCAGCTACCCATTCTCCCTGCTATCTCCTCCTTTGCATTTTTGAGTTTTTGCAGCAGGCTCGAAGTTCTGCTCTAACGCTGTGTGTAGGAAGCTGTTTGCAGGCTGGGGTGACTGGAAGCTCCTTGCTTTTTGAGCCCAAGGTTTTTAAAGCAATTTGACAGAATGCAGTGTATTTGCACAGGATACCAAGGTTTGTTGGAAACCAAGAGCACCTCAGGATGCTTCACCTAAAGTGTTTTAGAACAAAATGAGATTCACATGAAGGCAAACGTGTTGTACTAAATGTGATACTTATACCCCGTGGACCAGTGAGATGCTGCTGTGTTTCACTTTTGCCCTTCCCAGGAGAGGAATGAAGGAATTTAAATGTCTTTGAAAGGTGACTTCCAGACTGCAGTGAAGGGTTTGGTGTCGGTGTTCCAGACTTCTGTTTATTCTGGATCCATTGGACAAATGCATGGTGTGTCTGGTTTCCACAGCTGAGCACCTCCACCTTTCCTGACGCAAAACCTTTTTTGTTTCGTGAAGGTTTATGTAGGAAGAAAGTAGTGAACGTCAACGGATCTGTACAGATGTCTGGAATCAGTTTCCAAATGTGTAACAATGGTACAAAAGAACGTAATGAAGTCATGTGCTTTATCTTAACACTCCTTTAGTGTTAAAATTGGTTTTGCTGCATTTGATTATTGAAGGTCTTATAGGATCTTGCCTTGAGTTTTCCCAGGATTGAGCCACACAGGTAAAGAAAGCAGAGGCTGACTTGTGCTTAAGGACTGGAAGTCATTCGCAAAGTGAGAATTTTTCATGCTATCTCTAGAACATTCCTGGTAGGCTGAGAAGAGCTGCTTGGTTGTATGCAATTAAATTCTTCCTCCTGCCCTTTTTCCCCATCCTATATTCGGAAAAGAAAAGGTTCAAGAAGGGAAGGAAAGGACCATTAGATAGCTTTATTTAAAATTAGATAAATTTGATGGAAGAAATTGTAAAACCAAGAAATAAACCCAATGTATTGTAACTACCAGGAGAAGATTTTGTGTTTGCTGGATCCAAGACCTTAAATGCAGGGAGCTGATTCTCCATTATTAACCTGGTTACTCATGCCTCGTGCTAGAGGGTCAAGCAGCCTCAGAATCATAGAATCATAAAATCATAGAATTGCTCAGGTTGGAAAAGACCTTAAAGATCACTGAGTCCAACCACGACCCAGCCAAACTACCCTATGAAATGTCTTCAGTGCCTCCAATATTCTCAGGCTTTCCCCCCCACCTTGTGCAACAGCACAGAGGTTCTAACTCATCTTCCTGTTTTCCTCTAATCATAGCTTTTTAATTTCCCCTGCCAGTGTGTTGTCTTTATTCTCTCTGGTAGTTGTGGCATGCAGTTTGTTTACCTACATAAAGCAGAGGAACGAATGTAGTCCTTAATTTGCCCTTAATTGTCTGCATGTGCCTTTTCCTGACTTAGTGATCTTTGGCATGTTGGCAAGGCTTACCCTCCAGACTGCTGCCAGCACGTGTTGCACAACGCCACAGAGCAAACTTCATTTATTTTTTTTTTCTCTCATTGGAGGGGTCAATTAAAGCGAATCAGTAGTGTGCGTTGTAACAGGAGGAAGAAATCCTGAGCTGAGGAGCCTGGCGGAGGCTCAGCTCACACAGCAGCCAGGTGCACTCACTGCGAGCCCTGGGAGGATGCTGGGGCAGCTTTGGTGTTAAACCCACGCTGACGAGAAACCAGAGATGTGCTTTGGCGGCTGTCTTGGGAGAGGAAGTTGAAAAGATGTGTAATGTAAGTCGTTCAGGCCGAGTCAACACCGTGCATTTCCAGCCTGCAGGGAAGCCCTGTGCGTATGCTGTTTGTGCACGGGGCTGAGGTGTGCAAGGGAAGCATCCTTAGGTGCCTAAAGAAAAGGAGGTGGGGAATATCATGTGTGATATGAGAGGTGCTTTTGTCCTGAGAGAGACTGAATTGAGGCACTGCAAAGCTGCTTTGTTAACTGAACAAAGTTGTTAAAATATCTGTCCTTTGCACACAGGAGATCTCGCTGGCCCACACAGGAAAAGCAAAAGCTGTTGACAAAAGGCTGTAATTCATCCACCGCAGCCTCCTTCATTGTTGAACATGGTTCCTTAATGCACTGTATCTGGTGTGTGATTGATTTCCTTGTAGCCTGTTACCCAGCTGAAACTAGCAACATATCTGCTTTTTTGGTGCTTTTTTTTCCTTGGAAATTGAGAATAAATGCAGTGCTCTTTGAAAATGTTGAGTCCTGAGACCTTGCAGAGCTGGTGAGTGCCTGTGCTTGGCAGCTGCTTCATCAGTCTCTAGAAAACAGCATTCAGAAACCCCGTCTTTTCTTTCCTGGTACAAAAACTGGGTATGCTGGTGAGACTCAAGGGTTAAATTCCCAACACTGTCGCATATGGCAGTGAGCAGAATCACAGATGTTGATGATACAACATAATTAGTATTCTTTTATGTAAATGAAGGCTGTCAATGTTACCATAGTGTCTATACTCTTTCAAGCTGGAATCTATGTGATGCCACTTGGATTCTCCAAGCCTAGACAGGATTATTTCACAATTTTCTATCAGGACTTGAGTGGAAAAATAAAGAAGAAGAGGGAAAGGAGGGAAGAAGGGGAGAGAAGGTGAGAAGGAACGCCTCCAGTTTGGAAGGAGGAGACCAGAGCTGTCCTTTTGTTTACTGGAGGGTTTTCAAAAGTCTCTTTGCAGGTCCTGGAATTTGTGAGAGAACGAACACAGTCCAAATGAGAGCTGCAGCCAATCTTTGAGCTGCTTTGGAGGGACAGTTCAGGCACTGCAGTCACCGCATTGGAATTAATTCTGAAGTGGCCGCTTGTGCTTTAATCTGAAGTAGAGAAGAGTTGAAGAATAAAAGGCCTTTGTGGTACATAGATTTATTTGTCTTTTTCTTTAACAGATTTCGTCTTTAGCAGCAGCATCACTGGAAAAAGACTGCAATTGAGGTAAATGTGCATCATTTTAGGTCCACTAAAAATAAGTCGTCTTAGCCTGGCCAGACAGGTTTTCTATATACATTCACAGGCAATTGTTAAATATTTATTCCATGGCTTTTGGAAAGCGTGCTCTTTCCTTCGTTATATTAAACCCTGTTCCTCAGAAAGTGGTGTTTTTGTTTTTTTTTTTTTCAAACTAAGCATTCTCTCCACCAGATCTGACACCATCTGTGACATCTGTAACCACCTTGTGTTTGTTATTGCTGTCCTTCCTCTCAGTACTGTGCATATTGCAGTTCTGTAGCCACAGAGGCATAAGCAAGCTAATTTAGTCTCTCTTGGATTATTACAACAGATACTTTTTTTTTCCCAATCTTTTTTGCCTTTGGCAAACTGCAGGTTTTTCCAATCTTTCTTTCCCGTGTAGTTCTTATTTTGTTGCAGTTCACTCTTGAAAACCATTTGTTACTTCATTTTTGGTTTTGTTTGAAAAATCGTCCAGAAATGAAATTTAATTCAGGAAAGATTCCCCCCCACACTGCACTCCTCCCCCCTACTTTCACAAAGTCACCAAAGCAGCCAAAATTGAAGCCATCACAGGAGATGCACGTTTTTGCTCCATGTTTTTGCTCAGATTTTTCCGCTGCCATATGTTGGGTCACCCACTACAAAAGGCTGACGACGAAGAGGCTACATGTGATCAGCAGATTTATAGATGATCAGAAATGAAAACAGAAAAATGAAATTCCTGAGAGTCTCTTCCATGTGAAATTTCTTAACGTCTGCATGCTTGGGTTCCTAAGCGCGCTCGTGCTTGGACTTCCAGATAACTCTGTTCTCTGGGATAAACGTGTTCTCTGCAGTAGCTCTTACGCCGAGGGGATTAATTCTGTTCAAAGCAACCTTGCTGGCTTTCATAGTTTATGTGCATCACGAGAATATTCTCTCTCTAGGGCTTTGAAGCTGCGCTTCCTTAGAATGAAGACTTAAGTAGTAATTAAATTCTCGAAGAACCACCAAGACTCCTTTGAATGAAATGGGGATGTTCCAGGCTCTGAGCATTGCGTTGGAGAGGAAGGAATGTTTCAACGTGACTCAGTGAGTACTGTGTGTCAGTGAGGGGGTCTGGGTGCTGCTCTGGTGCTCCGATCGCTTTCGGTTGTGCTGGGATGTCGGACTGCACTGCTGGGAGCTGTGCTTTGGTGTTTTGCCTGTGCTCCTTGCACAACCGAATGTCTCCTATAAAACACACAGGATGTGGATTGAAGGCTTTTTCACACTACAATTATGGTTTTAATACCCAGATTTGAATTCTCTTCTGCTACAGTATATTAATTTAGTGAATCAGCTTTTTCTGGTTATGTGTTCATGCACACATGTACGCGTGCAGCCATTCCGTTGGGTTTACTGTAACAAGTTGTTACATATTTCATTTTTCCCCATGCTTATTTTTTTTAAACATTAGAACATTTGGGAAAGTGAGGGGAAGTCAGAGAACTCGGGTAGAATGTAGAGCCTGCGGAGCTGTGGGTTGCATATAGGCTGATTGTGGTTATGGCAATTGTCTGATATTTTCATGGCTTCTGTGGAAAGCTGGAACCCTTGTCTGGTTCCTGATGACATGCATTCGAATTCCAAATTCATTTCATACGTATCAATTTCCAGAGGGCAGCTAAAGATCAAATGTGTGTGTGGACTGAATTAATCTTTTTCTCTCTGGAAGGAAGCCACGCAGTTTGGGTGGCAGCTGTCTGGGCCATCCTCACCACACAGTTAGACAGTTTGGTTCTGTACAGTTTGTCAGTCCAATATTTTTTGCTGGTAATGAAAAATGCATTTAAAGAAATTGTGTGCGAAAATAATGTAGTTGTTTGAAGGAAAACTGTGAGTGGAATGATACAAATCTGTATTTTTGTAGTTCTTTACATCTAGTACAAAAGAGATTGTTTTAGATGTGTACTGGCTCTGAGATTTTTCTATTTTTTATCTTTTTTTGCCTTACAAGGTCAAAGCAGCGAAGACTTCTGTAAGAGATGGATAGATGCAAACATGTTGGGCGGCTACGACTCGCCCAGGACCATTCTATCCTGAACCCTCAGAAGTGGCACTGCGTGGACTGCCAGACAACTGAATCAATCTGGGCTTGTCTGAAATGCTCCCATGTAGCCTGTGGGAGGTACATGGAGGAGCATGCACTTAAACACTTTGAAGAAACCAGACATCCATTGGCAATGGAAGTTAATGATCTGTACGTATTCTGTTACCTTTGTGAAGATTACGTCTTGAATGATAACCCGGAGGGTGACTTGAAATTGCTGAGAAGTTCTCTGTCAGCGATTAAAAGTCAAAAACATGATCCATCAACAAGAAGCGGGAGGACGTTGCGATCCATGACTTTGGGAGAGGACGTGTACAGCCATCAGAGGACCCCTCAGGGACAGTCTCAGATGCTTACAGCTCTCTGGCACAGGCGCCAGTCTTTGCTTGCCAAGGCACTGCGGACCTGGTTTGGTAAGAGCTCCAGAGGCCAGCTGAAGTTAAAACAAAAGAAACAGATGGAGGAGTTGGAGAAGAAGAAGGAGGCAGCTAGGCGGCGACGGCAGGAGATGAAGAGACAGCTTCTGGAGGAGCTGGCAAACACTCCTCCGAGGAAGAGTGCAAGGCTGCTGTCGCACGTGCACAGAGAGAACTTGATTCCAAGGAAATTCAGGGAGGTGGCGACCGCTTCCCCTACCTCAAGGCAGATGCAGAGCAGCAGATTCAATCAGTTTTATTCCATCCGGCGTAAGCCTCTGATGACTCCCGGGGTGACGGGTCTAAGGAACCTGGGGAACACATGTTACATGAACTCCATTCTGCAAGTGCTGAGTCACCTCCAGAAATTCAGAGAATGTTTTTTGACGCTTGATCTCTGTGAAACGGAAGAACTCTTGGCCAAAACTGTGAACGGGAAGTCTAGGTTGCCTGGCAGATTGGCAAATGGATCTGCTGCTAATGAGTCAGGGAGGACTGACAAAGTGGGATCATACGGCACGCAGAGCTTGCCAGCTGGCTTAAATGGCAGCTCCTCAATAAGCAGGAGTTTAGAACTAATACAACCCAAGGAACCACGTTCAAAGCACATCTCCCTCTGTCACGAATTGCACACCCTCTTCAGAGTGATGTGGTCTGGCAAGTGGGCACTTGTGTCCCCGTTTGCCATGCTGCACTCTGTGTGGAGTCTGATCCCAGCGTTCCGAGGTTACGATCAGCAGGACGCTCAGGAATTCCTGTGCGAGCTGCTGGATAAAGTGCAGCAGGAACTGGAGTCAGAAGGAACGAAGCGCAGGATCCTCATCCCTTTCTCGCAGAGGAAGCTCACCAAGCAGGTCCTGAAGGTGGTGAACACCATTTTTCACGGGCAGTTGCTTAGTCAGGTAAGCACCTGGTTTCGCACAGAAATGAATTGGAGTGGTTAACAACAAGAAGCAAAGGTTTTGTTTCTTCAGAAACCACCAGATACTGAAGGAATTGATTGGGAGTGCCTCCTAAGAATGAAAACTGCTTAATTGCTGTGCAGGTTCTCAGGGTTTTGATGCTTTTCACATCTGTTGTTAATCTAGTGCCACTTGAGGATGATGTCTGCACTGGTATGGAAGGTCTGAGCCCTTAGTTTTAAGTTTATTATGTTTTTAAAGTATCTTTGTAATTTTTATCTCTGTTTCTGTGGCTAGAAAGAATCTGATGAAGGACAGAGAGGGCAGTCATCCTATGCTCTGAAGAAAAAGCTATTCATGACCATTTTTCTTTGCAGGCATGTGAATGTCATCTTGAGATACTGAGCATGCTTAACGTATGTTTCTGCAGCAATGATTGCACCCACACTGTCACACTGCTTGGTCTCTTATTCCTGTGCCATTGCCCTGTCTGAAACACGTTATGCCCACAAGGCTGACCCTGCAAGCACAGTGTGTTTGAAAGTCCTCAACTGCTTTTCCTTTTCAGGAGAAATGAAATGTGTGCATAACTTGATGCTGCAGGGCTTGCAGGGTCGGACACGAGGCGCCTCGTGTAGGTGCGATCCTCATCAGTGTTCATGCAGTCTTTCCCAGTGCCAGTCTTACTAAGCTTACCACTCACAAGAACTTCTGTGTACATTAAATATTAAATATAAAAGGTGTATTTTTCAAGTTAAAGCTTTTGGTTTTTTTAGGGAAAGAATGCTTGAAGCCATGCTTCATCTGAATCATCTTTGCACTGCATGAAATCCTTGTGTGCTTCTTTACCAATCATTCTTTGTTCAGCCCTGTCTCTGGAGTTGTGTTGTGCCCGAGGTCAGTGTTTCTAGGTGGCCCCTGTTACCTGTGTGAAGATGTTCACAGATCAGTGTAATTTATCTGTTATTGTTATATGCTGTAAATAACTGGACAAGCTGTTTATTCAACTTACGTAACTTGTATGCAGAGACTGTGTTTAATTTTAACCCCTGTAAGACTTCCTTCCTTATCCATTCTGACTCCACCTTGGAGTCACTGCTGCCTTCAGTGGATGGAGTTGGCTGGAGAGCCAGTGCCAAGCTGGAAGCTGACTTCCTGGTGGATGACTTTCATAAGAATGCGAAGTCTGAACCTGCTTTCTGGTTTCGTTACCTCTTCTCACTTGTTGCCTCTGAGTTTAGTTGAGAACGTTTCTCCTGTTCTCACTAACAGTATGCCAGGATGATGTGAGAAAACAGGTGCTTTTGAAATTTGTCCTTTCATGCGCCAGTCATGAATAGCTTTTGCATTGTTAGCAGATGAAATGTGCAAGGAAAACAAAGAAACAGTGGAAGGAAGTGACACGATAAATGCTAACGCTTACTGGTTGCAATTCCAAACTGCTTGTTGCCCAGCTGTGAAGAAGTCTCATACCTGTGTTACACTTGTAATGTTCTTCCTCTGAGACAGTGAGCATCATGAAGGTGAATATGGTCTCCATTTTTGGAGATCTGAGGGAAGTAGTTTAACTTACTTGCTCAGGATAGGTTTAACTTTCATACTGGAGGCAAGTAGCATTTCTCTTGACCAATGATGGTTTCTGTGTCTGTGGAAACACACTGCCTTCTGGGCATGAGGTTGCTGTTGAGATGTGAATGTAAATGCCTGTCTGCAGTGTCCATGTGCATAACTTCATCTGTGTATAAACATTTTAATTCCCAGGTCACCTGTATAACATGCAACTACAAATCCAACACCATTGAGCCCTTTTGGGATCTTTCCCTGGAGTTTCCTGAGCGCTATCACTCTATTGAGAAAGGGATTATCCCTGTTCACCAGGCAGAGTGCATGCTGACGGAAATGTTGGCCAAGTTCACAGAAACTGAAGCTCTGGAAGGGAGGATCTATGCGTGCGACCAGTGCAACAGTAAGTCCAGAGCTGCTGCTGGCTTTGCCAGTTAGAACCACCATGTTTTCCAAGTGAGAGGTTTCTGTTGTATGTTTTGTCTTGAGAACACGTGTTGTAACCAGTACATACATTGCTGTTCATGCTGTTCTGTGTCTTCCTGCTGGTGGCTTCTGCTGCTCCTTCAGGAACCAGTTTGGAACCAATAAGTCATTCTTCTGTTGTCTCTGCCTCTGCGCAGTGCAATTTACCAAGGATTTAATACAGCTCTGCTTAGAGCTGCTCTCACTCTGTGTGTTGGAGGGAAGGCAACTGCAAGAGTTTGGGTGCAGAAGGGTTGGACTTACGGACAAAAAGGGACCATTATACTGTATGATTTTCACATCTGTGTGGCAGGAAAGCTGTTGTAACAGGTTTTCTGTATGTCATCTGTTCCCTCATGTCCCTTAACTGGAAATCACAACCATGGATTTCTCACATCTGCCACCAGGTTAGTTTTTTTCTCTCTCTGTTGGTGTTTGGACAAAAAGCAATGAACTGGCATTATTATGAAAGGCTCAGGTTATTATATTGCCTATTATTTGAATGCATGTATTTTGCTGCGCTCAGCTGGAAGATTATTTCTGCTTTCCTTTATAGGTCTGACTGTAAGATCATTATATGAAAATAGTTTTATCCTTTTGTATAATCGTGTAGCTCAGCTACTCTGATAAGCTGGATTTGAAATTTTTGTGTGTAGGTATTTATGGCAAATATTCATCCCCTTGTGTGGAAAATCCCAGTAATTCAACTTACTTTGCAACTAAGCAGATGAAGTAGCAAGCATTCGTAGAAATCTCTTTGCTATCAGTGTGTGAGTCTGCTCTCGAGCGTATTCCCAAAATGAATAACCATTCTGTTAGATGTTCTTAAAACAAAGCCAAATATAGTTCAGATTCATAAATAATGTTTGCAGAGTGTCAGTATGGGCAAGTGTGGCTTTTACCTTAACTCAGTTTTCTGTAGTTCCTTGTGAACACCAGAGTTAAATGGCTACAGAAACACTAACCAGCTAAAAAAAAAAAAAAAGGCAAAGGCAGACAGCCTGCATCTGAGTGCCAAAAACTATTGGGGGCACTGCTTGTCAGACGACATAGAGGAGGAGCAACCCATCTGTTCCAACCTGGTGTGGTGAGATGCAGAAATCTAATTAGCAGGTACATTGCTTATTGGAAGCACTGACAGCCACCTGTCTTCCTCATGGTGTAGTCATATGTTTGGTGTACTGGAAAGGGTGATCACTGGGAAGAGAAACCTTCCTTCCCTCTTCTTCAGTTTTTGTTTAGCAGTTCCTTTTCCTCTGTGACCAGTCAGAACTCCTCCTGGAAGTGGAACCTTGCTGGAAGCATTTTTCCTCTGACTTGGATTAATATCTTAGAGCCATCTTGTGATGGCCTGGTAAATGGATCAGAGTAGTACCTTAAAGAATACGCTGTCAAGGACTGTTGTTTGAATGCTGGTAATTCACCTGTTGAAACTGCTGCAGCCCTGGGTGCCATTGGCCTAGCTTCCCCTAAAGCTTTGGTGCTCTTCTTAGAGCAACAAGTCAGCACAACAGCTCAAAGTTTGATATCTGATTGTGTGCTTTTCAGCATCACAGGAGGAAAAAAAAAAAAAAAAAAAAAACACTTGAAATATTTTCAAGCATGGCTTTTATTTCTAGGAAAGTTGCTGATTTGCGGAGGCATGCATAGGATGGAAGTGCAAGTAAACATACCTTGTGTGTTTGTGAGATGTCTGTCGCTACTAGAAGAAAAACAGGCTCTTTTCCTTTAAAAATAACAATAATGACACCTTAACAATCTTTGCTGATTTTTTGTTTCATAGGCAAACGACGAAAGTCTTCTCCCAAACCTCTTGTTCTGAGTGAAGCTAGAAAGCAGTTAATGATCTACAGACTACCTCAGGTCCTCCGACTGCACCTTAAACGATTCAGGTGAGTGGGGCAGCAAGGGGGAGTGCCAGGCAGACAGCTTCTGTCTTCTGGAAGAGAAGCGGTCATTGTGGCCCCTTAGCTTCTCTTACTTTGAGCAATGTGTGCCTATAAATGTTTTACCCAGCCCAGCTGTGCAACGCACACTGAGTAACACTAATGTTGAAAACAGTGATGTTTGTGCCGTGTTTTCATGCAGTGCAGTGCGTTGTGAATTGTGCTCAGCAAATTTGTCTGATCTTGCAACAGCTTGAAGCAGTGGCTGTGAGACAGGTGAACTGATCTGCTGAGTGAAAGATGGGATGAAGCTAGAACCCCTGTGATAGTTAACTGCCTTACTATCAGCTCTTTACCTATTGAATTAAGACTTAAACACAGTTGAAAATATGAAGTTTCTAAAATGTTAGTGTAGGAAATGATGTGGTGTGAGGGTTTTATATTTCTATAATTGTGCTTGACCTTTACAGTAGATGTTCTATTTTCTTTGAAATTGGCTGTTATAAATCTAAAACATATCTTCAACTAATAAGCATCAGCAACAGAACAGTTTTATGCCAAAGATGACTGCAGTAAATGTTAAAGTGACAACAGATGAAAAAGTTGTGGTGCCTACTTGAAGGAAAACTCCTCAAACTGTGCTGCAGTGCTCCTGAGTCCGTCTTCGATTCCTGCAGCCCTCTGCCACTGCCAAGAAAGATTCAGAGCCTTTGATGATGCTCTTGTGTTTGCAGGTGGTCTGAACGCAATCACCGTGAGAAGATTGGGGTCCATGTCCTCTTTGACCAGGTACTAAACATGGAACCTTACTGCTGCAGGGACTCTCTCTCCTCTCTTGACAAAGAGACCTTTGTCTATGACCTCTCCGCTGTGGTGATGCATCATGGTAAAGGGTTTGGCTCAGGACACTACACAGCATATTGCTACAACACAGAGGGAGGTGCGTGTGCCTTATTACAGGGAAACAAATTCAAGAAATTTGTATTTTATTCCATAGATGTAGCGTATTGTAAAGCTTCATGATCAAGGTTGTTTAGAAACAAGTTTCCTGACATTCGGTAGTTTGTTTCCCAGAATGTATTACTACTGGTAGCACGTTTTCTTTCTCTTTTTTTTTTTTTTAATGGTGTGTGTGTAAAGACCACAGATTGCTGCTCTTTGCTGTGCGGCACTTTGGGATGCCTTTTATTGCTCACTGTTAACAGCATGAATGCTTCATTTTCTTACGGGATGTAACTCTGTGAAGCTAATCCAGCTGGGTCTTTTCTCAGCATCCTTGGGATGGTGAGATAAACAGAAAGTGTTTTGAAACTGGACAGGAACTATTCATGAATAACATCCTCAGGGTTTTTGTGAATTTCCAGCAGTCTCTTTCTTCAACTGAATCAGCATTGATTCTGCCTTTTAACTGATGGAGAAAGAGGTACAAATCAGCTTTCTCCAGGGAATTCTTATTTTCCTAATTGAGTTTTGGGGCCATCATATGCAATTGGTTAAATTATCATTTGATATTTGTCAACCATGTTAACAGCACAGAAAAGGTAAAGTGTTTTCCATATTAGAAGCTCCTTCTGAAAGTTTCCTTAGGGGAAAAGGCAGAGGAGCCTTTTCTCCTACATAACACTTTTTCTCTGGGATGTCTCCCATGAACAATTCCAAAATGCAATTGGAAATGATTGAGTCTTGAAGGAACTGGCTGATGTAGTCACCATGCCACTAGTAATGATATTTGAAGTCGCAGTGATCAGGTCCCCGGTGACTGGAAAAAGGCAGAATAGCATTCATTTTTAAAGAAGAGTAGAAAGGACCCAGGGAACAAGCACCCTGTCTGCCTCACCTCAGTGCCAGAGGAGACCATGGAGCAAATCCTCCTGGAAGCTATGCTAAGGCCCATAAAAGAAAAGAAAGGGAGGTGTTATGGGATAACCAACATGGCTTCCCCAAGGGCAGGTCCTGCCTGACCAACCTTGTCGCTTTTTACAATGGTGTAACTGCAACAGTGGACAAGGAAAGAGCCACTGATATCCTCTGTCTGGACTTCAGTAAGGCCTTTGACATTGTCCCCCACAACATCCTTCTCTACAGATTGGAAAGATACGGATTTGATGGGTGGACCATCTAATGGAACTGGTTACGGGATTGTATGTAGAGAGTGGTGGTCAGTGGCTCAGTGTCCAGATGGAGATCAGTGATGAGTGGTGTCAGGGCTTGGTACTGGGACCAGTGCTCTTTAACGTCTTCATCAGTGACATCAACACTGGGATTGAGTGCAGCCTTAGGAATTTTGCAGATGACACTGAACTGTGTGTGGTGAGGTCACACACCGAGGGCTGGGATACCAGCAGAGAGACCAGGCAGGCTGAGCAGTGGGCCTAGGAGAACCTCATGAGTTCAATAAAGCCAAGAGCAAGGTCTGCACCGGGTCATGGCAGCCCGCACTGTCAGTACAAGCTGGGGGTGTAAGGATGGAGCACAGCCATGCCAAAAAGGACCTGGGGGTACTGGTGGGTGGCATCTGGGCATGAGCCAGCACTGTGCCCTCACAGCACAGAAAGCCAGCGTATCCTGGGTGCATCCAAAGCAGTGCAACCAGCAGGGCCAGGGAGGGGATCTGCCCCTCTGCTGTGCATTGAGCACTGCGTCCAGATGGGGAGTCCTCAGCACAGGAGGGACGTGGAGCTGTTGGAGCACATCCAGAGGAGGGCCACAGAAGTGATCCCAGGGATGGGACGCTGCCCTGCAAGACAGGCTGAGAGCTGGGGCTGTGCAGCATGGAGAAGAGAAGGCTGTGGGGAGATCTGAGAGCGGCCTTCAATATCTAAAGCGGGGGTTAATAAGAAAGAAGGTGACAGGCTGTATAGCAGGGTCTGTGTGATAGGACAAGGGGAAATAGTCTCAAACTGAAAGAGGGGAGATTTATGTTGGGCATAAGGAAGTAGTTTTTTACAGTAAGAGCAGAGAGGCATTGGAACAGGCTGTCCAGAGAAGTGGTGGATGCCCCATGCTTGGAGGCATCTGAAGTTAGGCCTGACCAGGCTCTGAGCATCCTTACTGAGCAGCAGATGTTCCTCTTCATTCCTAGGGAGTTGAACTGGGTGATCTTTAACAGTCTCTTCCAACTCAAAAGATGCTGTAGGTCTCTGATCCTCCCCTACTAATGTCTTCTTTCTCACTTTGATTCCTAGGCTTTTGGGTCCACTGTAATGACTCCAAATTGAATGTATGCAGCGTGGAGGAGGTGTGCAAAACCCAGGCCTACATTCTTTTTTACACTCAAAGAACCGTGCAGGACAAAGCAAGAATCTCAGAAAAACAACTCCAAGCTCAGGTGCTCTCCAAAAATACTGATAAAGACAGAAGACTGACATTCCCATGATGGGAAACTCTATAACTCAATTGATGGTCTCTTGTTTGTTTGTTTTTGTTTTAAACCATTGTGTTCACATCTTTCCTCTCTGTAGGGAAAAGGGCTGGCTGCAGGAAGGGGATCAGATTGTGGTGTTGTTTGCCCAGGTTTGGAGAAGTGTATCAAGCTGTGCAATTCCGATATGTAAGACTGTAGTCAGAAACTTGTTTTTTAAACAATATTGTTAAATTACTCAAAACAAAGAGTTTGATGCTTTGTATCATTAGTCTCATATTAAAATGGCATTGAGCAAGGCATATAAGAAATGAGCACCACCAAGAACTAGAAGCATTCAGCTGGTATCATAAAACCTTCAGTACATAGTAGTGCTGATAAACCTCCAGAAGGAGCAGGTATAGTACCTTCCCTTTAACTGTCACTGGGATTTCCACCCAGGTATTTCTTTTATGGTTGTTGAATAGTTGGAGCTGGCTGCCCTAAAAGCCTTTCTTCCTGAAGAAGTGTATGACATTCATCAACAAGAAGAAATGTTCCCCAGCCCTCAGCTATCTCTGTGGTACCGATTTCTTTGCCCTCAGATAAGGGCAAACAAATGGCTGGCAATTTCTTTCAGTAGCTCTTTTTCTCAGTGTTACTGGGACTGTATGCACACTTGATAGCCTGTTCTCTAGGCCGAACTGAAGTGGCAGCTAAATTCGCTAGGAATGTAATTCTGGAAACAGTTCTGCTCTGGTGAATGTTTTTTGTTTTATTTTTAAAAAAATATAAAAAAAACCAAACACCCTGTAATAAAACAGGAACGTGCCTGTGTGATCAGAGTCGTATCTGTTTGCACTGGCAGCAAAAATAAAGCCTACACTGCATGTTTCTGCTGGCATAACTTTGCTGATCAGGATTAGGAAGAAGTGAAAACCTGACTTGCACAGCTGTGACGGCAGAAGCAGTCACTGGGAGGCAACTTACACTGGCAAATGAGCACTTTGTTTTGTTTTGGGAATATGTCCAGGGGAGTAGTGTGGAGGTAACACCGCAAGAGAGCTAAGTGCTGATAACTGCTCCTGTAGTGGCAATACTGACAAACTCTGGTTGTCATGCGAGACCCTGAATGACTGAAGGCAGTGAGGTTGTGCAGATGCAGTGGGCAGAGTTTAACCTGTGAAGCTGTTATTCCTGCTGGGTCGTAAAGGGAAGGAATTAAGTTAACTGTCATATTCCTCAGTGAGTTTGAAAAACTACAGAAATGTCTGTGAGTATCATGATTTTAGAACATAGGGCTCTGATTGACTGTTTCTAGTCAGTTCTCAGCCTACTGTTGGACCTCAGGAATTCTTATAATTTGGAGTTTGGCTGCTCATGTTTCTTATTGTCATCAAATCTGAATATGTGACTGCAATGATACGTGTTATATTTCAATCTTGTTGTTCTTTTTTTCTTCTTTCCTGAAGCAGCTATGGGTTGAAGCATGCAGTTCTTCAAACGCTTGATTCAGTGTTCAGGTAGGGGAGCTGGAACCATGTTTTTCTTCCCCTTCCTACTTTTATCCTGGCAGGCATTGGCCCATCAGCCACAAATTGACAGCTGTGCGTTATTGTTGGAGAGGGCAAAGAGGAAAATCCCCCAAACACAATTTCTCTTCTTTCACTGCTGCTACTTCAACTTTTGATTTCCTGTACTGTGGGCACTTCAGCTGCTGTTAATCACTTTAGTCATGCAGAGATGAGCAGAGCAAACAAGAAACTCCTCTTTTGTTAGAGCACAGCGCCGCTCTACGTCTCCTCTGTCCATAAAGAACCCATTTCCTCTGTCTGAGTAGTGTGCCACTTTTTTGAGCATACACAAACTGATCTTTTAGCAATTAAGAATAATTTGAGTTTATATGCTTGCTTTGTTTTGTGGAGGTTTTGTTTGTTTGTTTGTTTTTAGACAAGCCAGTTTGAAACAGTCTTATGGGAACAAATTAAAAGGTTTTAATTCTGTTTCTCTAAATGTTGCATGGTCTGGAAGGATTTCCTGTGAATGTCTGCATATCTACGTATTTACTAGGTAGCTTTTTTTTTTTTTTTCCCCCCCTACTAGTAATAAAATTAAATAAAAATATTATAGGCCAGACTGAGATACAAAATGACCCAGCTTAGTGCAGGGGAAGCTGGTCTGGCTTCAGCACAGGCAGAAGTTGACATTCATGAAAGAATGAAAAGGAAATGCTTGTGGTGTTCAGATCTGTGCTGGAGTCTTTTTTAGAGCAGAGTGCATGCTTTGTGAAGACTACTTGTCTCAAAGGGAAAATGAAAGGAAAAAAGGTGTTCAGTGTTGCCTTCTTAATCTCAGAAGTGGAAGGGAAAATGGAACAGTCATGGTTTGCTGTGACTGCCAAATACTGTGATTGCATTCTGCAGCCCTTACCGTGCTGGCCCTGTTTGTATGAAGATTGATTGTTGTCACTGTAGTGAGTTGAGACTCTTTGCTATGAATGCTCATCTTTTGACTGAGTGTTTTGCATTAATATTTGTATTCAGGTAGAAATATGGTTGTCATGTGAATTGACTGGATTACAGAGGGGAGTGGGAGCAGCACTGTTAGCCATGGGTACAGCTGGTTGCCCAAGCAGATTGTGTAGCGTTTGCTGTTGACATTGTTGACATTAGTGACTTCTCCATGTGACATTAGCCTCGTTGCGCTGAGATGTGGAGATACTGCAGTCAGAAAAATATTGCCCTGATAGGGAAGGAATGAATTATACTTCAAAGTAAACTTGCTTTTTCCAGCACTGTGAGGTTTCTGTGATATTTAGCTTTTATTTGGAAGCGATAGCGTATAGCATTTTTTATGCTGTTTGGTTTATATTGGTCTGCTGTAGGCATCTTTATATAAGCATAACTCAATGTCCCTGTCATGGTGGACACTGTTCTATAGTGTCTCGTTTGCCAGAAATAAAATTGGAAGTTATCTCTTTATAAACATCCAGCTTGCAATTACTGTGAAGCCCACTGAAGTGAATGCCTGCCCACAGGCTGCCTGCAATGCAAGCTCTGTCCCTCCTATAATGGTGTGGCTTGAAATCCTGCTCCAATCCAGGTGTGTATTTAGAATAATTCCAAATGTAGGCTTTACTCCTACAAGCACCTAAGCAGCTGATCTAACTTAACTCAGGTGTGAAGGTGACGCTTTTGAGTCCCGAGCTCAGCATCTGCAGGATTAGAACCTTTGTTTTGGTTGAACTGGGAGTGGAATTTGTTTCTGTACGTGCAGGCACACCTGTACTGGGGTTCAGTCATGTCACAAGAAGCCAGCTGCCTTGAGAGATGCTGAGAGCAAGTGTTAGGCGCCTGGCACTGTGCAGGTTGCTGTCTGAAGACAAAGTAAACCACAGGACACGTGCAGGCTGTCAGGCTTCTGAGTAGTCAGCCCTTGGCACAGAACTGTTCCCAGCATAACCTTATTCTCTTCAACTCGTACATAAACTGGTGTTAATTTTATGCTTTTGAGAATGAAGAATCTCAATGTATTCATGGCCAGATAGGGTACAACATTGGCTGTAGTTATTGGGAAATACTTTATTTTAGTTAACATTCTGCCTCTAGAAGTTAGTTGCATAAATTTGCCTTTGTTACCACTTTACTACCTGCATGCCCAAGTTGAACTATGCATACTGCAAGAAGAGTTTCTCTGCAAAGCAGTGGGGAAAAAAAAAAAACAAAAAAACTTTTTTTCCCCACTGTTTCTAACCAGAACAGTTCTCTGGTCTGGCTTTGAAGTTGTCAATACGAAGCAGCAAACAGAATCAGAATAATGTGCATTAAGTGTTTGATGTCAGACTTTTCTTGGTGGCTGTGTCACCCCCATTTCCTTAGGGGATTCCAGCCATTCTTTTTCAGCAAGGAATATAATTGGAAACAGTAAAAGCACTGAGTGCACCCTATGGATTCACTATCAGAAGTTATTTTTGCTTCTAAAAGGAGAAAGACATCTTCCTTATGTCCAACCTAAATCTTCTCACTTTTAGTTTGAGACCATTTCCCCGTGTCCTATCACAGCCCCTGCTAGAGTCTGTCCCCTTCTTTCTTACAGCCCCTTCTGATACTGAAATATTGTCTTGGGGGTAATTTAGACACACTTATGTTGATTGTAACATCCCCAGGCCCGAATGTGCTTAATTGCATCCTAACAAAACTTCTGGCTGCTGCTAGATCCCCCAGGATAAGCTCCAGTGGAAGTAACAGTGCTGCAGAATGAGAAATACTTATGGAAGATACAATAGACAGAGATTAGTTTTACCTGCCAATACAATTTAGTGAGCTAATTTTGTATGATTCCTTAGATTTGGTGCCTTGTATTCAATAACGTTTTGCATAGAACAGAAACACTGGGAAATAAGTCCTGACTGAAGCAGCAGATTTGTGTTTTTGTAAGTATTCCCAGCATCATTGGCATCTTCACATTTCATGTCCATATGAAGAAGTTTACCAGCAAGCTCAGAAGCTATGATTTTGTCATTATATGTTTGAAATATCTGTATATGTCATAATTCAAGGAATGATTTGTTCAAAGGCAAATTGGATTTAAATTTTCTCATGTCATCTGGGCCCCTTCCAGTCAGTAAGTAAGCTGACATCTGGCAGTGTGTGTGGTGCAGAGCAAGGAATAAAAACTCCACTGGGAGTTTTTGGTAGAGGAGCTGTGCCTTTGGAAGGGGCCTTCTGTCCCAAACCTAGGTTTGAATATAAAACCTCAATTAAGTGGTATCTTTCTTGTGTCCATTACATTAATATTGATACCTGTTTATTGCAGATGGGAATCTGAAGCATTCTAGCAAGCTTTTGGATTTTGAAATCCACAGCATAGACTGAATTATCAAAAGCAGAATGTGTTTGTCACCTGTACCTATTTGTGATTATCTGTCTTAGTTGATTTAAGGGCCGTGCCTTTAGGCCACTCCTGTTGTGCTTATTTTAAATTCTATGATTCTCTGTGTGTGAATGGGTTCCACTTGTTTAAATGATAATTTTGCATGGTGGGCCAAAATAGTTTTGAAATCTGATAGTGCTAATAATACAGTTTGGAAAGTACATTTCCAGATGGGAGGGTGGGGGGGTAGAGAGAGGAGGGGAAAAAAAAAAAGACAAGACCAGCCCAATGGGCCCAGGATTGACTTTAACCACTGCTATTTGTTGTTCTGAAGTGTATGCATGACACGGAGGAATGCACTGCAGTTACAGTGGAGTGCTGTGCTACTGATTTTGTGCAGGCTGGGGACTGGGAAGGAGAAAGGGAGAATAAAACAAATGGATAAACAAAGCCAGGCTGAGCACAGTAGTGATCTACTTCCAGTAGAAATAGGAAGCGCTTGATTTGCTGACCTTATGTGTCAGAGGATCCTGTGTTCTGCAGGCAGAGACATTAACAAAATCCAAATGCAGTCTCATTAGCTGCAGTCTGGGGGCAAAAATTTCTCCTAGTGGTAATCTTATACTGGCAAATAAATGATGCTTTTCTATTAAGTATTTCTAAGGAGCAGGACCCCAAATTCTCAAGTTTTAAGAAGGAGCTGCCTACTTAAAGCCCACCGTGTCACTGTAAATGCTTGTGTAACTGGAAATGAAAAAAGAGATCATACAGTTGATGATTTGGACACCATTTGATTTGTACTTCTTAGTCTCAGTAACGTACTTTTCATGGAGGTGGCAAATGTGATTCTTGCCATGCTGAACTGCTGGGTCTGGTCCTGACTCATCAAACTAAGACTTTGTGGGGTAGAAAAGGACTCCCTCTGTTTCTGCTCCTGTTTTACACTTTCCATGTGAGCACTTCATTGGAATGTAGGGCTTTTGAGTGTTTCTCCTCCTGAAGGGAAACAAAGAGGAACAAACACATCCCTCCAGCACGGGCAGTGTTAAGTGTCAAGAATTTAGGCTATAGCCTTATCTCCTTAGAGAACCATATCCATGCTATGGGGATAATTGTGTTACACTGAGTTAGTATGAGTGAATCCGTGTAGCATTTGTGGATTCACGAGGTTAAAGAATGTATTATAACATAGACAAACCAGAGCTTTGCAGATGTCATTGCAAGCTTGTGGTGCACTGCTGAATGGAATCTGTAGCTGAGGAATTAAGATGACTTACCCACATGGCTCCTCCTTTGCACAGTGAGTGTAATGTCTGTTCTGTATAACTCTATACCTCTGACTCATGAATACTTCCTAGCAAGTTCATCTTCATTCTCCTCACATTTATTAAATGAAGTTACTAAGCCTGGCCCTTATGGCTGTTGCCTACTGCTATGAGATGAACTACAAATATCCACGTGAAAACCAAGTTGATACCTTTGCTGAGTACAGTAGCATGCCACTAGCAACCCGTCCAGCCCATTTGGAAGAGGCCCTATTTCTTGTCTGCTAAACTTCAGCTTTGGTTAAGCAGACACAAGCTATTTAAGGCACAGCCTTCTGTATGTCTACCTAAATGAGAGTTTTACAGGAAAAGAACAAGTAGATAAGTTTGTTTCCAATAAAACTTCAACTAGTTTGCTTTTGGGTAAAAACAGCTGCAATGGTTGGGATGGTTAAAACTGTCTCCAAGGAAAGTGCAGCCCAGGCAAACTCCCTTGAGTTGAGACAGGCTTGCAAGGGATGCTGCCAAGGGAGCCCCCCTTTCTGCTCTGGAAGTGCCCTGGAAGTTCCACTGCTGACCTGAGCAGGGGTAGAAAGAAAGCTAATCTTCAGGACTTCTGAAGTTAATCCCACTCTAAGGCTGCTGGAAAGGTGCTGGTGCTGACAGACTGGTTAGAACACGAGCATTTCTCTTTCAGTATGAAATCCCCTTGGAGCCACTGTGAAAACAAGAGTAAAAAGCTACTCTGCTTCCCTGGATAAGGATCAAAGCTGGAGTTTGGTGGCTTTCCTTTTTTTTTTTTTTTCCAGTGACTTCTGTGGGGGCTTTAAGTCAGAACAGCCTCTGGTATCTGCTCTGAGTTTCTGCTACTTTCGTCACTAATGACTTAAGCTGCTGTATCCCATGCTGTGTTCATGAATGAGGCTGCCTCTGCTTCAAGGATGCTTCTAGGCAGCAGCAAGTGACGAGAGAATCCAATTAATTACTGAATATTTTCTGGCAATCTGGCTGTCTCATAGCTCAGTGCAAACACAGTTGAAGCGCTGCTTCTAATTGCAGGTTCAACAACTTTTATTTTAGTCAAGGTTTGTTAAGACAACAGCCAGTAGGTGACCTATGGCAGCCTTATGTACTTAACTGTGTGAACTGCCCCCTGCCTGAACCCAGGCCTCAGGAGGAGATTTGTGTGTTCTAAATCAAAACTAAGATTAACTAGAAAATGACCTAATGTTCTAATTAATCCTTTTCCTTCAAAAAACTGTTCCTGCAAAATTTGACATTCTTTTGAAGTACAGATAATCCATTTCTTTACAAATGTTAAAATTTGTGCTTTGAAAACAGCATTTTAAAATATGTTTCAATAGTGGAATATACTTCTCTTTTGGGGCAGGTAGAGCAGCAGTTCTCAGTCACACAAAACACAGTGGCAGTACAACTGCAAAAGAATGTTTTAATTTAAAACCCTGTGCATAATTGTCCAAAGAATCCAAAGCCATGTTGCAGTCATACTGCCACAATGCTCAGGGCTGGGAAGTTATTCTGCTCTACAAACAGCATCTTCTGGGAACTGCAGTGTTCTGTCTCTGATTAAATTACAGCTACAGCTCTCACGTCAGCCTCACGTCATGCTTTCACTGTCCCTTGAACAGCTTCATCACCCATAGTGGGACTTGAAGTCAGTAAAGGCAAGTTGTAGTTTCAATCCAGGGCACAAACATGCTATGCAACACCAAATGGCTTCTTCCCACAAAGTCCTGATTCCTTTACAGTAAGTGTACCAGCTTCATCTCAGCCAGACACGATCCATGAAACCTTCTGGTGGTTGGAGTTTACCTACGGCTTCCCACGGTTCTGTTTTCCTTTTGAACAAGGATCCAGCATACAGCCCAGGACTGGATTTGATTGTTTGTCTTTTGGGTGTGAAATAAAAATCATGTTTTTATGATTTTTGTAAATCTTTACTCTTTTTACACCTTCTTTTTGTAAACTGAAGTTTCTTATTAAAAAAAAAATAAAATTTCACTGTGTCATGCAATTATTCTACATTTATTAAGGAACGACATGGTGATACAGAAAAGAATTCCAAGCACAATGGCTTCACATCCTCCAAGAAACAATTCTCATTGCCTTCTGAAGAATGGGTTGGATAGGAATTCTCCCTCTGACGTGGAAGGTTTTCTGCTCCCTGGCATTGCTTCACATGGGACAGCTTTCAGTGGGAGCAGCAGTTCTGCAAAGGACAAGAATGGAAGATGCTCCGTGAGCACGTAAGAGCTTATAACTGCTGAACAGCTCTCATTTGGTTCCCGGGCTCTGTAAGAATGGAGTCAAAGGGAGCTGCCTCAGTCTGCGTCCCGAGGGCAGTTCAGCGCAACAGCCTTCGCACAGCGCAGGCCGCCTCGGGCCGAGGCGCGCTCCAGCCGCGGCCCCCCTCCCATCGCATCTGCCTCCGACGCAGACCCGCAGAACGCCCCGAGCCGGAAGGGCCCCACCGGGAGCACCGCGTCCCCACCCAGGCCGCCCAGCCGGATCCCCGCCCGCACGGCGAGCCCCCACCACGCCGCCGCCGCTCACCGCCGCTACGCCACGGGCTGCGGCGCCATCAGGTCGATGTCCGCCAGGTTGCGGGCGACCCACACTCCGGCGGCGAACAGCCCCACGTTCACCAGCAGGTTCCTGAAACGCACAGCGGCGGCTGCCTGCGGGCCCCGCGCCCGAGGAGCCGGCCCCGGCCCCGGCCCGGGCCCCCCTCCCGCGCCGCGCAACGCCGCACCGACCTGCGGAAGTCGTTCCTGTCGGTGGCGAAGCGGTACGCCGCCCGCAGCCACCCGCCCGGGCCCTGCGGAGGAGGGGGACGAGGCTGCGGAGACGACGCGGCCGACCCGCCCGCCTGCGCGCCGCCCGCCGCCATCCCGCCTCGCGCCGCCCGTCGCCGCGCGATGACGTCACCGCCGCCGCCGGCCGCAGCCTCGCGCTCCGCGCCTGCGCGGTGCCGCCCCACCGCGTGCCGAAGCCTCCCGCGCGTCGTCGCGACGGTAACGGCCGTTGCGTCCCGCGCCTCGCGACGCGGCTGCGGCGCACGGAGCCTCGCCTGGCCTGGCCTGGCCTTGCGCAGCGCAGCGGCAGCCCGATCGATCGGCTCCTCGCGCCCTCGCCCTTCGCGGCTCCGCGCCGAGCGGTGGGAATCGCGCCCCCTCCTCCCGCGCCCTCGGCGCCGTTGCTGCGGCCCGGGCCGCGCCGGTCCGCCGAGGAGCTGCTCCCTGCGGGGAGCGGCGCGGAGCGGCGCTGGGCGGGATGGCCTCGAAGCAGTCGTGCGGCAGGGCGCGCCGGGAGGTAGGCGGGGCTGCGGCAGCGGCTGGGAGCGCGGGAGCTCTGTGGGACTTGGGAGCGGGGCGCTGAGGGTGGGGACCCGCCGCTCCCAGCCTTGGGACGCGGAGTGGCTGCGAGAGGCCGCGGCAGCGGGGAGGCTCTCATCCTGCCTTCCTCTCCCCGCGTCCCCTCTGCAGCCCTATCCGCGTCGGGCCGGGCCGCCGCCTCCGCGCGCTCACGGCCCCCGGGACGCCTGGCGCGACGCTCCGTGGGAGCAGCAGCCCCGGAGAGCCAGGGGAAGAACGCGTCCGGTAAGAGATGGGGGCGAGCAGCTGGGCAGCACGGGGTGGGCAGCGCTGCTGGGGTTCTCCTCCAAGTTTGGGTCGGCCAGAGGGTGGGTCTGCCCTGGGGAAGAGGAGAGTTGGAAAGAGCTCAGTGGGCACGGCCCAACCCAGAGCACGGCCAAAATCCCCCTGGGAGCCTGCAGGAGGCGTGGCTGCTCCCGGGGATCAGGCCCAGGCAGCACGGGTTCACAAAAGGCAGGTCGCGCTTGACCGACCTCATCTCCTTCTACCACTGGGTGACCAGACTGGTAGACGGGGGAAAGGCTGTTGATGTTGCCTGCCTAGACTTCAGCAAAGCCTTTGTCACGGGCTGTCACAGTATTCTCCTGGGGAAACTGGCTGCCCGTGGCCTGGACTGGTTGACCCTTTTTTGGGTAAGGAACTGGCTGGAGGGCCGTGCCCAGCGGGTGGTGGTTAATGGAGTTAAGTCCAGCTGGCAACCCATTCCAAGTGGTGTCCCCCAGGGGTCGGTACTGGGGCCCATCTTGTTAAATATCTTTAGTGATGACCTAGATGAGGGCATTGAGTACAGCCTCAGTAAGTTTGCAGATGACTCCGAGTTGGGAGGTGGTGTCGATCTGCCTGAGGCCCTTGAGAGGGGATCTAGCTAGACTGGATCGCTGGGCTGAGGTAAATGGGATGAGGTTCAGGAAGGCCAACTGCCGGGTCCTGCGCTTTGGCCACAACAACCCCAGAGGCATGGGGCAGAGTGGCCAGAAGACTGTGAAGAGGGAAGTGTTGGTTGGGGGTGTTGGTTGATGCTCGTCTGAACACGAGCCGACAGCCATCCAAGGTGGCCAAGAGGGCCAACAGCATCCTGGACTGCATTAGAAATAGCGTGGCCAGCAGGAGCAGGGAGGTCGTCATCCCCCTGTACTCAGCACTGGTGAGGCTGCACCTCAAGTGTTGTGGTGTTGTGTTCAGTTTTGGGCCCCTCACTACAAGAAAGACACTGAGACCCTGGAAAGTGTCCAGAGAAGGGCAGCGAAACTGGTGAGGGGTCTGGAGCACAGTTCTTATGAGGAGCAACTGAGGGAGCTGGGACTGTTTAGTGTGGAGAAGAGGAGGCTCAGGGGAGACCTCATTGCACTCTGCAACTACGTGAAGGGAGGTTGTGATGAGGAGGGGTTTGGCCTCTTCTCCCAGGCAACAAACAAGCCCCGAGGAAACGGCCACGAGCTGTAGCAGAGGAGGTCTAGATTAGACATAAGGAAAAGCTTTTTCTCTCAGAGAGTGGTCAGGCACCGGCATGGCTGCCCAGGGAGGTGGTGGAGCTACGGGATCTGGTTTAGTGCCTGTGGTAGCAGTGGTGATGGGAGGACGGTTGGACTAGATGATCTTGTAGGTCCTTTCCAACCTTGTGGTTCTATGATTCTATGATAAATGAGCTGCTGTCCTCACCTGCGGCTGTTTGCTTTGGCAGCCCGATCCCAGGCAGCCCGGGCCTTTCCCTGGCCCTGCTGACATCCTCCGCAGTGAGGAGAATTGGAGAGGGGCACCGCAAGACTGTGATGTGGCACCACCTCCCTCAGTCTACAGAGAGGAGCACCAGAGCTGTGAGGTAATGTTTGTCAAGGACCTGCAGCCGGTGAGCAGAGGTGGGCTGGGGAGGGGTGGCGGTGTGACGAGGTGGCAGACAGGGTCACGTTTCTCTGCTGTGCTGTTAGTGGGGGCTGAAGGCTGCTGTTGTGGATGCGCCACATCACCGAGTGGGGAGGCAGCCTTGCGTCCGTGCAAGGATCCATCCGTTGGGACGTGTCACATGGAGAAGTTCTCGTGGGGCATCTCTCTCTGAGATGCTCTCTTTTGGGTAGATGCTGAGTTGCCTTTCAATCTTTAGGCCCAGCTGGAGAGCAGTGCCACCTGGAGAGGCCAATGCCGGTTGCAGACTTTGGCTTTCCCACGCCGGTTTTCAGTTTCCCAATCTGACCTGTGCTTTCCCAGGCAATAGGACCGTTTTTGTGGTTTCTTTGTGCTGTACTTACCGCAAATCTCTCCAGGTGTCTGAGTTTCTTCTGTGTATAGCTCAAGGATGCTCTTCAAGGCCGTGCTGTGTTCCCAGGTTGGTGGGTCCTGGGCCAGCAGAGCTGTTCTTTCTCTGTATTTTTGTCCAGTTCTAACCCGGGATCCCGTTTATGGCGGCTTCTGTCACTAAAGGAAAAGCCTTGCTCAAGCTCATGGCCAGCAGACGCGTGCTGCACGCTGGCTGGTGAGCAGGCACATCCAGCCCAGGCCTGGCAAGCTGCCCATGCAGCGGTTCAGTGGCAGGAAGCAGAAGTCTGGGGTGTCTGTGGCCATGAGCTTCCCCTGTGCGGAAACTGACCGCCTGCTGAGTGCCGTCAGCTCCTGGCCGAGGCTGGTTGGACTGGAAGATTTCTGTGCCTGGGAACAATGTTTCATAGCGGGTGATAAGGGCAGCTGTGCTGCTGCCTGAGGCTTGCTGCCTGCAGGACGTGAGATAAGAGAGAAATGCATAGAAAGTGGGGGAATGCCTGAAACGCTGCGTGGGACGTTGCCTGTGCCTGAGCGAATTTTCCAGGCAGGGCTGCCAGAGCTGGGCTGTTTGTAACCACGCTGCTCCGATCCAAAAGGCGTCGCTGTGGAAGCACTGCTGGTACACGTGGGCAGGATGGTGTTTCAGCAGCGTTGTTTGGAAAATATCCCTTCTGTTCTCTCTGTCCCACCCTGCACGTGCCTAAAGTTTCACACAATTTTGTGTTCACTTTGCTGAACCGCCCAGCTCTTGGCTGCCTGCACGCAGCTCCCGCAGGTCAGCAGCAGTGCTGGTGAGCCCCGAGGTTTTGCAATAGTTGGGCACAGCCCTGAGCACGAGCTTTTTGCTCGGCTTTGGCTCTGCAGCACAGCTGGTCACCCGCTGCTTCTTTTGGCTGCTTCCTGCTCTTTTGCTCCACTTTGAGGACCTGTAGCAATTCTCACTTCTGCCTTATCCCTGTCAGCCTTCACTGCTTTTTTTGTGTGGAAGCTTTGTTCTGTGCAGCTCTACAGGGCACTTCTGCACCACCGGGGCGCTCGCAGAGGTTTGTGCTGTCCCCACTGCAGGGCGCGCACACAGCCGTGCAGCTGATGGGCGCTGTTCGTCAGGAGATGCTGTGCTGCTCTCCCCAGGGACAGAATAGCTTTCAAACTTGGGTCTAGCCCAAACTGTTCTCCAGTGACAGTCCCTTCTGCTTTTCCTGCTGATGTTCTGCAGGATTTGTGTGGTTGTCTGCATTCAGGTAGATGTCGTGACACCTTGCAGAGTCACCTGTTTGCTGAGCTCCGCAAACGCAGTCCTGGACTTTTACACCAGGAATTCAGTAACTGCTGTATCCTATAACCTTACTGTACAAGGAGTAAATACTAGAAATAGTTGGCAGCGTCCCCACATCCGTGGGAGCTCCTTATCCTCCTGTCTGCGGATGCCCGGGTCAGGAGGAGGACGTGGTCTGGTAGGTAACAGTAGGCAAGGAGCCGCCGTAGCTGCTGGTGCTCCCCTCGCAAGGTGACGTGCTGCCACAGAGGCCACGTAGGCTGGGGACACTTTTGTCCGTGCTGCTGGATTCTTTTCCCAAATCGCAAAGAGCTAATTGATCCGCCCAGTTAGTTAATTGATTTATGGCTATTGAGGCTGCAATTAACCGACCAGCTGGAAAGCTGCATGTTATCTGCGGGGTGGGAGCAGCGCTGGGAAGCAGCCAGCCCCGATGGGCCACGAGCTGCCCCCTCAGTGTTTGCAGCACTGCTCACGTGGCATCTTTTAAGGTTTGAGTCTGCTTCAGACTTGGAATTTTCCTTGCTATCTCCTCCTTTGCTAATGTTTGGCACTGGGGAGCTCAAGCTTGGTCTCCCTGCTCTCCCTTATCTCCCTCGCGCGTTACTGCAAGGTCACAAACTCTGCTTTACTCTCTGGAATAAGGAGGGAGTTTGCATTGCAGGCCAGGCCAGTTTGGACCAGCTTGTTATCTGTGCGTTGCCAACCACCATCCATACCCACGTGAAAGAAAGCAGATGTTCATTAAGCAGCAGGAAAGTGAGACGTCTCGTTATGTGGCTGGGCGAGCTGCCTGCCCCGAGCACTAACATATCTGGCTGTCCAGAGCTAAGGAAATGGGAATGTGGCTCCTTTGGAAGCACGGGCAAAGAGGAGGCGCCGTGTGCGTGGCCGCACCAGCAGGGGGTGTGCTGGGCCGGCAGCAGCGCCGTGGGCAAAGCTTCGGAGCAGCCCCGGGCTGAGGCGATGGGGTTTGCAGCGCTGCAAGCAGGAGATGAAGGCAGCCGTGGTGTTGGAAGGTGAGCAGACACGGACGGCTTTGGCAGCTCTTGGCCAAGCCAGCAGTGCTGAACTGCAGCTTCCCAGCTGTCCCGGCGCGGCTGAGCCAGCCCTGCCCGAGGAGCGGAGCTCTCTGCTGCTCAGCTTCTGCCATCCGCGTAGGTGGGTGTGAGGGCAGCATCCCTTTGTGCTGAGCGCTGTCCTGCCAGGGCCACCACGGCCACCACACGCTCCTCTCAGCCTTCCTTCTCAGCTCCTCGGGCTGTGCCAGAGCAGCCATGCTGCTGGGGTGCGCTGCTCCCCAAAATGCCCCTGGCACAAAGCTGGGAGCATCCTGGGGAACACGTGGCAGCGACGGAGTGGGGCAGAGGCACGGCCTGGGATGTGGGCTCTGTGCGCAGGAGATGTGCTTGCTGTCTGCCTGAGCGGCCGTGCCTGCAGGAGCCTCCAGAGCTGGGAATGAGGCAGCAGTGAGGGCTGTTGTGGGGCTGATGGAGTGACGCACGGCGCAGTGAGTTTGCAGGCTTTGCATTAAACTGCTTTAAGCAAAGGTTGGTGAAACAAAGAGAGCCTAGGGAGAAGAAATTGCCTGTTTCTGTTTATTGGAGACCGGTTGGAGAAGAGGTGCCGTTTTGGGTGTGTGCAGCCCTTAGGAGATAAGGGGGGGCTGCAGTCAGCTCCGAAGCGACCAGCGGGAAGGCAGTGATTGCAGCACGCGTCACTGACAGCTATCAGCTGCACTCAGACAATGTACTACACGTGCTCTGAGCACAGACTGCTGTTGCAGTCTGTACCTCATCGGTATCCCAGAGAAGTTCAGTTAGGTCGGGTAAGGCTGTATGACCTGTCCTGCTGGTACAGTGGTCGCAGGTCTGGATCTGGGGGTTGCGTGCTGGGCAGGTCTCAGGCCGGCTGAGAGGAACCCCAGAAGATGTCCTCAGCATCCTGACTGGATCCCCTTTTCTCACGTGATTTCCCGTGATAAGCAAGAAAGTACTGTGTCACAGGTTATGCAAATTAAGAAATAAACATGGGTATAGAAAACGTATGATGTGCAAAGAAAAGTGAAAGAGAATCTTCGCTTGATTCCTTAAGACCTCATTTTTGTTACCTGCTTTTATGCTTTCTGTGTCTTTGCCATGGGAGTTATTCTCCCTTTTCCTCGACAGATTGCAGTCACAGCTCAGACTCTTGACATGAGTGCTAGTCTGCGTGTTGTTAAGCCTAGATAGGGCAGGTGGAGTGACAGAGGCGTAGCCGTGGCCTTATCCAGCCTGCCCAACTTGGGGCAGCTCTCGTTATCAAACAGAGGCTGGCTACCAGACCTGTGCTGCGTCCTGTTCTCTGGTCTTACCCCACCTCTCCCCTGCTTCAGCAGGCTGTGCTTGGGCCATATTCCACAGCTGCCAGCCATGCTCTGTGCCCCTCTTGTGGATGGGTGTTGCCAGCAGCTGCGGCCAACATCAGGAGGCGCTCTGTAAAAAGTAAAGACTCCTGGAAGGTGTTGCTGAGATAGTAAGCTGAAGAATACAAGATGTGAGGGTCTATAACACCGCTTGGTTTTGCTAACTCAAAAGGAATTTGCAAATAGCATTGCCTAGTTTAACTTTTGCTTACTCGGAAGGAATTGCTTAGTTTAACTTTTGCTAGCCCAAATGCATTCCCATAAGGAAGCCTTCTCAAATCACCAGAAGGGGGCCAATGAGAGAACAATGGAAACGGGAACAAACAGGATAAGAAATTGCAGAGGCACGCAGGGTGGGAGAAGAGCTCAAAACTGGGACAAAGGTCGGAAGGACATGGCGAGGAAGACTACTGACTTCATCCAGGGATGACCACCAGGTGGGGAGGGAGATGTCGAGCCTTCATCCAACGACCACCAGAGGAAGCTACTGCACATGCACTAGGGGGAGGGACAGTGTTTCAACGAATTCCCAGAAAAGTACTGAATGTGTCAGTAGGTCTTGGGAAATACTGCTGAATATGTATGGGCTTGGCTTATGAAGGTATTGAGATCCCACTCTGGTGTGCAAGCTAGGAGCAGCGATCCCCCCTGTACCCAGTGTGTGGCACAGCGCTGAAATAGAACATATCTGCTCTTATAACCTTTCGTGGGTTAGAGAGTTTTATTCCGCAAATCATTGCAGCTTGGCTTTTGGCACCTTGCAGCAAACAAGCGGGCAGGAGGGGTACAAAGGTAGCTGGCCGGGGGGGGATTAACAGCCAGCTGCTGACAGCCGCTGCTTCCTGTTGGGCTGCATTCAACAAACAGAGGTGGTGCGATCTGCCCTGTGCATGGAGGAGGTTCCATCCCCGCTGCATCCCACGCTTGCTGGTGCTGGGCCTCTGCCAGCAGGTCAGCCCCCTGCAAGGCCCCCTGGGACTGACCTGCCAGGTGAAACCCCAATCCGGGGATAAAAGTCTTTACTTTTTTACTGCTGCACTCCTTGCTGTCCAGTAGCTCGGTCCCTGCTGCTCAATGGGACGAGGGGAGGATGTCTGTGCTGTGGCTCCTGGCAGGATGCTGAGGATGCCTGCCTGCCCTGGCTGCTCCAAGAGCCCACTGTCCCCAGGTCGGCAGTGTCAGGGCATAGCCAGCCCTGCTTGCCCTGCTGCTGTTCTGTGCCATAAGCACTGAGCCCTGAGCTGTGCAGGCGCTGTGGGGGGAGATCACCAACGCGTTCCCAGGCAGTCTGTGAAGTGCCCTGGTGCTGTGAGCCAACACAAGAGGAACAATAGTGGGGTGGTGCTGCTGGGCGCTGTGACCTGTGCAGGGTGCAGCGGGCAATGGAAGCATCGCCGTGAGCAGGTGGAGATCTGGGATGGGTGGGGAGACCCGGCAGTGGATGTGTGCAGTGTGAGGGAACAGCAGCAGCACTGCGGGGAACCTTGTCCCCTCTGGGGATGGGGAGCAGTTCTGCACTGCCTTTGCTGCTGGCAGTACCGCGTTGTGCTCCAGGGGGCCCAAGTGCTTGGAGCTCAGCAGAGCAGGGACAGCTGTGGGTGGCACCACTGGGAAGCTGACCCCAAACAGACGGTAGTGCCCATCCTGCAGGATGTACTCACCCACACCACTTTCTCTGCAGCCCAATGAGGACTTGCTAAGGACCTCCTTCCCAAAGGGATCAAGGCTGGAGCAGCGCTTTGGCAAGATGTCCTCGAAGCAGTTCTGCAGGAGGGGGCCCCGGGCCTTTCCCTGGGGGGTAGGTGGGGCTGCGGTCGTGGCTGGGAGCACAGGAGCTTTGTGGGACTTGTGTGTGGGACAGTGAGGGTGGGGATCCAGTGCTCCATGCCTTGGCATGCAGAGAAGCTGGGAGAGCATTTCCGTGGTACAGGAGGGAGTTGGGAAGGCTGGGACTTGTCTGTGACTACAGATGGCAGGATTTTGGGCTCCCCATCTCTGCGTGACATTCCGTGAGGATGGGGGAGGCAGCAGCAGTGGGGAGGCTCTCATCCTGCTTTCCTCTGCCTGTGTCCCCTCTGCAGCCCTATCTGCGTCAGGCTGGGCCACCACCTCCACGTGCTCATGGCCCCTGGGATGCCTGGTGCGATCCTCCATGGGAGCAGCAGCACTGGAGAGCCAGGGGAAGAATGCATCTGGTAAGAGGTCGGGGGTGGGCAGAGCTGTTGGGGTTCTCCTCCAAATTTGGGTTGGCCAAAGGGTGGGATTCCACTGGGAAGAGGGGAGGTGGAAAGATCTCAGTGGGCAGAGGAACCCAGAGCACAACCAAAATGCCCCTGGAAGCCTGCAGGGTGCCTGGCTGCTCCAAATGAGTTGCTGGCCTCACCAGCAGCTGTTTGCTTTGGCAGCCCGGTCCCAGGCAGCCCTGGCCTTTCCCTGGCCCTGCTGACATCCTGCAGAATGAGGAGAATTGGAGATGGGCCCCCAAGAACCATGATGTGCCACCACCTCACTGGATGTACAGAGAGGACCACCAGAGCCATGAGGTAATGTCTGTTGAGGACTTGTAGCCGGTGAGGAGTGGTGGGCTGGGGAGGGATGGCAGTGGCCGTGACACTTGGGATGGGTAAAGGGCAAAAAGGGCAGTTTGCTACTCTGCGATGAGGATGGCAGATCACATCACTTGTGCCAACTGGTGTGTCTCCTTACTTGCTCAGTGTGTAAACCTCTGCTCTCCTCAGATACCACAGCTGCATCACCGGGACTTCTTTGCCCAGCCTGAGTTCCCCAGCCAGGAGCAGCGTCCTGCTGGATTCCCATGGTGGGTGCCTGCAGCGAGGCTGGGGCAATGGGCTGGAAAGGGGTTGTCTTCTACATCCTGCTGGGGGTCTGGGCTGAGCATAGTTCGCATGGGTTGGCTGAGGAGTGGTGGTCCCCTCTGGGATCTCGGGTGGGGGGGGAGCTGTGCTGCATGTGCAAACAGGTCTAGGCTCAGCTGTGGCACACAGCAATTGGCTGCGGGCAGCAGGCGGGTGCAGTGGGTTAAACAGTGCTGCAGGGCAATGCAGCGTTGAAGCTGACCCTGCCAAAGGTGGGAGGTTGCGCCAGAGATCCTCGCCAGCCTGAATTTCCCTTGGGGCTGCCTTTGCTCCTGTAGGGAGCAAGAAGTCTCCTGGGACAACTGCTCACCCCAGCGCCATTGTGGCCCACGCCGGAGACGCTGCCGACTCCTTCGGCCCATCCAGCAGGAGACAGCAGACCACAGCCGTTCTCCCAGCAGCTCCCAAGGTTGGTGCTGCTGCAGCGCTGGCTGCCGCCCAGGACCCCTGTGTGATGTGTGCAGCCAGCAGCGTCTGCATGGGGAGGGTTGGCGCTTTGTGTATTAAGTGCCGTTGTGTTTCCACAGGGTGCCATCCATCCTCCAAGCCCTCTCAGTCCTGCTCCGCGGAGAGCCAGCTGGGGCTCAGAGAGCAGCTCGCTGCTCCCCAATCACTTGCTGCCTGCAAGAACAGTCTGCAAAGCGAGCAGCAGGTGGATGAGGTGGGTTTTTACCCCAGGTACACGGCGGTGACTCCAGTTTCATGGCCACGTGATCCCTTGGTGCTGCCGTGGCCTTGACCAGCAGGATTTCCCCCAGGGCCGGCTGGTGGCAAGCAGCGAGGTGCTGGAACGGCCCGGGCACGCAGAGAAGAGCCCAGAGAAGAGCCCGGGCACTGACCCCCAGGCAGCGGAGCAGGAGCCAGCGGCAGGATCAAAGCCAGTATGTGTGCACCTCTTTCCTGAGTGCATACTGAGAGACTTTCACCCAGGAGCTGCCCAGCTCGGGATCCCTTCCACCTGTGTCACACCTCGCTTCTCTCCTGCACTCTTCACCTCGGTATCTCTTGGACAGAAATGGAAGCAGGATGTTTTCCTGACTTTTCTCTTGGGCTGCACATCCCCTGGTTTCCTTTGGGTTTCAGCACTCTGCCTGTCCTGTCTACCCGGCTCTTTTCTCTGGGACAGATGAACATCCCTGCCTCATGCTATTGCGTGCCTGCAGGTGGAGCCCGAAGGAGGAGAGGAAGCTGCAGGCAGCCAGCAGCTCTGTGCCCTGGAATTGGAGCCAGTCTCCTCGGAGACAACCAGCACCAGCGAGGAGGAAGGCTGGGAGCTGGTATGCCCTCATGCATCTGTCTCCTCTTTCTGCCTAAATGTCGTGCCACCAGGGAGGTGGGGTTTTGTGGTCCCCTCCGTGAACCTCATTCTTCCTTTTGCCTGGGGTCTATCACAGTGCCTCTCTATGGACTCTGGAACGCATCTGTAGTGCTTTGCACAGATAAAGCCACGCAGCCAAAGGGTCCCTGAGGCTAGTGGAAGTGCTGAGCTGTATCTGCACAGTCCATTATCTCTGTAGCCTGCTGAGGCTGTCAGTGCTGGCCCGTTTTGGAGGTACATGCTGAGCTTTGCCTGCCCTCTCAAGCATGGCAGCATCTGCCATGTGTTGCTGGTGCAGCGGAGGCAGCAGCTGCCCAGGATGGGGTGGGTTTGAGCCTGTGGCTGCACTACTCTGTGGTGTTTCCTCCTGGGACAAGAGAGCCTGAGGTTTCCCCCTCCTGAAGGCAGCAGCATCAGCTTGCAGCGCTGGCTCCCACTGTTCTCACCTAGCGTCTGCCTTCGTCCCCTGGGTGCCTTCCCACTGCATCTTTGTGGCCTTCACCAATCTGAAACTCACAGATCCCGCTGGAAGTTACTGTGGAGCCCAGCAGCACACAGCCCAGCGAGGCCGGCTCCAGTGTCTGCACTGAGGCAGCAGCAGCAGCCAGGACCGGGCAGCCTCCTTGGGCTTGGACAGAGCTGGTACGTGCACAGCCCTGCCCTGTGCACTGTGCAAGGATGGTGCCCCTGTGTCTCCGGGAAGCAGCTGCAGGGAGGCCCATGAACACCAATCTAAGCCAGCAGCCTTGGGGGGAGGTCCTCCTGCTTTCTTTGGATGCAGAGCCCACAGCAGCCCTGCTGCTGGCTCTTCAGGAGAGGCTGATAAATTGGAGTCCGTGTGGAGAAAGACCAAAAAAGTAATGTGGAGATTGAGAGCGTGCTGGAGCGTGAGCAAGCCCAGGTGTTGAGCTTTAGTGAAGCAGGCAAAGGTGCTGCAGAGAGGCTGAATTGCTGCCTGATGGGAAAGAGAAATCAGCCAGTGGGGCCCTCGGGTTTTGAAGGCAGGGCTGCTGGAGCTGCAGTGGACGTGGGAAGCAAGGGGCAGCCTCCTGCACGAGAGGGAAGGGTGGCGAGGTCCCAGCAGGTTCCCCCCAGGGTACCTGGTCCCCAGCTGGCAGCTCCAGTGTGGTGCCACCCACACCTGGTCCCTCGCCCAGGCCTTCTCCCCTTCAGAGCATCCAACCTCACCTCACTTCTTCCACTGCCCAGGCTGCAGGCTTCCAGAGCGTACCCCGCCCCCCACGCTCCGCACATTCCCCCAGCAGCACAGACCCGCGCTCTGCCGCCATCCTCACCAAGAAGGAGAGCATCGAGCAGGTGAGCCCCGGCACAGGCGAGGGCGTGTGGGACCAGTCAGGGACAGGAGAACTCTCGGGAGGTCCAGAACCCACAGGGGAAAAAAGCAGTGCTGGGTGGTGGGCGAGCCCTGGGGCAGTTCAGCACAGCTGCTGTGGGAAGAGGCTGCCACCTCTGGGACACCCTGAGGGGGGAAAAAATCCCTTTGTGCTGCTGGCAGGGAGGTTCTGGGGTGCCCCGTGCTGAAGCCAAGCTGCTCCCTGCAGGGCTACCACGACTTCTGCCTCAACTTCGCCACGGTGTCCACAATGCTGCTGCAGAAGGAGCCCTCCATGGAGGCGATGCTGATGAAGGCACTGAGAGCCAACCTGCGCGAGCTCCGCAACCACCTCCTCAAGGAGATGGAGGACTTCATCCAGCAGTACGATGCGACGCACCCCAGCTGCTGAGTGGGGAGCTGTAGGGCTGTGCTGGCACAGCCTGCACTGGGCCTGTAGGGATGTGCTGATGCAGACCCTCTTGGAGGTGGGGGTTGGTTGGAGGGGGCTTCGTTTGGAGGGTGGTTGGGTCCGATGTAGGCAGAAACTGGGACTGCGGGCAAGATAGGAGCCATATGTAGGCCTGTATTTTAGTGACAGAAGGTGATGGTTTTATTGGAGGGAGGGGGGAGGGAGAGCAACTGTGGGGAGGGGCCTCCCCTTCTCTTTATTCTATTCCTGTTTTTAATAGATGTTCTCTTACAATTCATGGTTTGTTCTTGTTTTCATAAACAAAAAGAAGTTATTTTTGCAGCCCTGGTGTAGCCTTAGCACTGCCATTGCTCCCTTCCTGTTCCGCTGGGGCAGCTTGCACAGGGAGGGGTCCCACAGTGACACCCCAGCCCAGTCCTCCCCTGGGGACCCTCAGCTCCCATTAAAAACAGTTCTCTAGCAGCACAGTTAATGCTGCTGCAAACCCGGGCTGAAGAGGAACAGGCCCGGCGGGGTCAGCTCTTCTGCATTCAGGTCTCAGTCAAGCTTTATTGGAGCATCGTCTGTCATGGTGGCAGAGCTGCCTCACTGGTCTCCTCCCTGCAGTGGCAGGGGATACAGCTCCATGTGAGGCAGCATCAGCTCTGGTCCTTCAAGATGTCTCTATACGTGAGGATTCTCACGTGGTGTCTCGATCTGACCCTGGTGGCCAGATCTCTCCTGGACAGTCTGGGCAGGAATCCCTGCAGCAGCTGCCATGCAGGTGTCTGCCCTTGTCCTAAGTCCTTGGCTGCCCTCCCCAGAGCACAGCTGCTCTCTGGGGCTTTGGGTTTGTCTGAGACAGCAGTCAGAGACCATACCCCAGTGCGGGCTGCTGGTTCTCCGCTCCCTGCTCGCTTTACCTGTTCCTAATTGAGGGAGAGGCCAGCAGGAATTGCAGGCTGTGCTTTGCCAGCAGCTGAAAGATCCCAGGTGAAAGATCCCAGCAGCTTCTCCCTCCCCCTCCGCCACCTCAGCCAGGGCTGTCTAAAAGGTCTTTGGAATGCATTGAGACCACTGCAAGTGCTGGCAGGATGGCAGTGCCATACAAGGCGCTCTCCCCTCCTTCCCCCCCGCCCGGTGCATTTGGCACCCAGCTGCTGCCCCTCTGCTCAAATACCATGCAAAGTGCCTCCTTGCCCCGCAGCCTCTGCAGCACCTGGGGACCCCTGCTTGCCGAGTGTCCCTGCGCTAGGACACGCTGCAGTGCTTGCTGCTGCCCCGCAGCTTCGCCTTCCTGCACCCCGCCTGCTCCAGGCGCTGGGGCTCCCTGCCTACAGAGTTCATCCCGGGCTTGGGGATGGGTTTCCCAAAGAAGAAACCCTCCTCTTCAGAGTCAGAGTCTGAGGATGAAGAGCAAGTGGGACACCAGGAATCGTCCTCTTCCATGATATCCTGTGGGTCAATGTCCTGCAGACATGGGCTAGATCGGGCAGGGGGCAGACCCACTTGGAAGCGTGGGTTTCCATCCCCTGCCAGTATTCGGGGTTCAGGACCTCCCAGAAGCCTGCATGGACCCTCTGTGCAGGGCTGAACATTGGACGGGTGGCTGGCTGATGATTCCAGCATCCCTGTGCACACAGAATCCTTGCTCCTCTCCACAGCTGCTCCGTGGTCCTCTGGGCTCCTGAACGCAGGATGTGTAGAGGCCTGATCTGGTAGCATCTCTGGAAGAAAGCAAGCAAGGAAGGGTGAGGGAGAAGAAGGCTGAGCCTGCCTTGCTGCAGTTGCCTGTGCAGCAGGGGCTGTCCCGGGATGCACACCAGGGTTGTCTTCACCAAACCTCAGCCCACAGCTGCTGCTACAGCCCTGAGGGGCTGCACACATGTGCTGTATCCCCAGTGAAGTACCCAGAGCCTGGTTTTGCTTCCATTTCTCTCCCAACCCCCTGCAAGTGGAGCACTCAGGTCCCCTACCAGCCCTTTCCACCCGCTGTCTGCAGCCCCCAGCTGCCGCGGTGCTCCCAGCCCTGGTGGCATGGCTGGCTCTGGAGACGGGTGTCGAGTCAGGGGACGGTGCTGAGACAAAGGCCGAGTCAGAGGAATCGGAGGTGGTGGAGGCAGCAGAGGACGCATCCTGGCCCAGGCTGCAGCTCTCGGAGCAGAAGAGCCGCCCGCAGCGGGCAGTGAGTGGCTGCCCACGCAGCGGCTTTTGGCAGAGACTGCAGCAGAAGCAGGCGGCGCAGGCGTGCCAGTGCAGACCCTGGTGTGTGGCCTCTTCGCTGTCGACACCTACAAGGGAATCACAGGTTAAGGGGGGTAGGGGGGTATCCCACAGCCCACCTGTCTCTCCGGCAGCATGGCCGTACCGATGGGTTCCCCGCAGGCCTGGCACGGCTCGGCAAAGAGGCTGTTGAAGCAGCTGCGGCAGCAGGGCCGGCCGCTCCGCATCACGTAGCGCTGCCCACACAACGGTGCGTCGCACTCCAGGCAGCAGAAATGCTCCGGGTGCCAGCGCCGGCCCTCAGCCTCGATGCACTCTTCCAAGAAGATCAGCTGGAAGGGAACAAACAAACTGTCCCAGGAAGCACCCAGCCACAGAACACACCGCCCAGAACATGCTTTTTGTGCTTTGGGGTGGGCATGGGGATCCCTGGGGTGCAGGAAGGGAGCTCCTCTGGCCCGTCCTGCTGCGTTTGCAGCTGCCAGCAGAGCACAGCAGCACCTAACGACAGCACAACGGAGCCCAAAGCACCTCCTTGCCTGGTGCCCACCTGGTCGCAGGAAGCACAGCGAGGCCGAAAGAGCTCGGCGTGGTGCCGACCGCAGTAGATCCTCCCATCCTGCTGGAAGTAGATGAGGTCCACCAGGGGCTGGTGGCAGACGTGGCAGCAGAAGCAGGGTGGGTGCCAGAGCTGCTCTCCCAGCCACGATGCCGCAATCCCGAGGTCTCCTTTGCTCAGCCTCTTGCCGCACTGCAAAGCACGGGGTCGGGGTCAGGCTGCGTTTCGGGGGCAGCTCCGCGCTGTCCATCGGGGAACGGCCTCACCTTCCTGCACGGATAGCCGTGGCGGGCGCCCGGCACTGGCACTGCCACCCCCTGGCCCAGCGCGTCCCGTCGGCGGCGGGCGCTGAACGCCCGGAGCTGCTTCCTCTCCTCCTCCTCGAGGTCGGGGCAGTACCGCTCCTGCGCGGGGAGGTGGAGGTGAAGGACCCGCGGCAGCGGAGCGCGGGGAGGGCGGCATCAAACAAACGCGTGCGTTTCTTACATCGCAGTCCTGAGGCGGCAGCTGCTGCAGGAGGGCTCTGACACGGAGCAGGCTCCGGTCGGCAGGACGGGGTTGATCTGTGGGTCGGCTCTCGAAGCAGGCGGGGACCTTGGGAAACACAGGCGGGTGACCGAGGAGATGAAGCGGCGTCGCTTCAGCTAAAGGCGCGTCTGCCCCTCGGGGTCGGAGCTGCTCACCTCGGGGGGCGCGGGCTCTGCGGGGGGCTCCGGGTATTCTTCCAGGGCACAGCCGGAGTCGCTGTCGGACGAGGCCGGGGGGAGCGCGGTGGCGGTGCCGCACGGGGGGGGCTCGTCTCGCTGCGGCCATGCGGGACTCGGCCGGGACATGAGCTGCGGAGAGAGGAGCGGAGCTGCGGGAGAACTTCGGCACGGCGCGCAGAAGTCTGTCCCCAGGAGGTGTCATCCTGCAGGGACAGCGCGGCGGGGATGTCGAGGCTCTTCGCTGAGTCCCTGCAGCGATCGCCGGGGTTACAAATAAGTCCTGCGGTGGGGGCTTTGCCTGCCGGGCGTGGAGCGCTGGGAAAGGATGTCGGGGGACTTGGGGGAGGGGATTGGACCGCGGGCGTTTGTGCTCACCCTGGGGCAGCTCCAGGGGAGCCGCACTTTGATGTTTGCGCACCCACAGTGGGAGATGTCCCCCAGCTGCCGCCAGCCCTTTCCCAGCACGGCTGAGCCCCGAGTTAGTGGCCTGTCCCTGAGCAGAGCAGTGGGAGGAGACCGAGGTCTCGCCCAATTTGGTGGAAAATAATTTATTCCCCCCGGGCTGCTATTGTTCTGCCCCGAGCGGCTGTTCCTGCTCGCCCGGCGTGCCTGGCTCAGGGCTCTGCGATGCGAACCCGTCCCGTCCCCTCCCCACGCAGCGTTTGTCACTGCTCGCTTCCTTCCTGCCTTGGCTTTTCAAAACAAAGCGATGCGGCGGCTCCTGGGGGCTCAGAGCACAGCAGCCCGGGGCTCTCCCTGTGGGACCCTCTGCACCGTGCTGCCCCCCCTCCCCCAAGAGCTGCCCAAGAGCTGATACCCCCCGCAAAAAGGCTCCCCGGGAAAGGGCAGAGAGGTGTGAGCATGAGGGTCGGTAGCCTCAGCCCTCGGAGGCTCCAGGCCCTCCCGCAGCTCTGCCCCAGCTGCAGTGCATCCTGCAGCTCGGCACCAGGATGTACGTGCACGGCTCAGAGCTCAGGCTTCCCAGCCGTGCAACGGGGTCAATGATTAACGCGGCAGATTGGCAGTCAATGGGATAAAGCAGAAGGGTGGCTTACTGCCAGCGTTAGGGCAGGCCGGCTGCATGCTGAGAATGGCTACAGATTGCTGCTTGGAGGAACGCACCTGACCCACTTCTGTGCATTTGCAGCCCACAGAGGTGCCGGCTTGATGAAGGACCACCAGTGGTGTTGGATCAGTGAACAGCCTCAGCCTCACAGCTGTGATGGAGCACTGCTGTGTCCCTGGGGTGCTGAATTGAAACCCCTGTGGCTGTGGGGTGCCAACCCTTCAATTGCCTTCAATCCCTGTGGGTAATGCATCTCTCCCATGGGACATAGATGGCATTCCCAAGCTTTGCTCTGTTTGCTAAGATCCCAAACTGCACGGCTGATCTACTGTCGTTGGACCCCCTGGGTGCCCCACGGATGCAGCAGAGCGGGCCCTACCTATGCAGGGCCCTACCTCATCCCAGGGCTGCTGGCAGGAGCCCGCTGGGGTAAGGCTGGGGACAGGGCTGTGAATCAATGGGGCCGTGCAGGAGAGCCCAGCCCATCCCGGTTTGATGTGATTACGATGGCTGGCAGCCGTCTGGGCTGCAGACAGGTCCCTGTAATTAGCCGCAGACTGTGACAGCGGTACGCGCCTCCCATGCTAAGAAGCCGGGCAGCCCCAACAGGTCCGTCTCCTCCGCTCCCATCCCCTCTGCCCTCCCCTCTGCCTCCAGGCGGTCCCACATCATCCTTCCCTGAGGAGGGATGCGGGATGCTCTCAGCACAGAGCTGGGCACGAAGCTGCTGTCCCCCCAGAAGGAACCGAGTGCCACCACATGGAGTGCCCTCGGGCTTTTAGAGCCCCTCAACCCGGGGCTTTCTCCAAATTGCCACCGTTCAGCTCTGCTCCAAAGGATGGCTGATGTCCCTGTCGTGCCCCCCTGCCTGTTTGGAGCTTTTCGGTCCTCATGGGGCTGTGAACAGCCATCCCAGCAAATACTGGCACCACCCGCCCCAGTGACGCCACAAGAGGCCCCTGCCTTGAAGAAGGGATCACAGCTCCCTGAAATCCACAAGAATTTTAATCCCCTTCAGTTCCCTGGGATCAGCCTCTGTCTCCATCCTGTTGCGGGAGCGCGTGGGGCTCCTGGACCGCTCCCTGCGGAGATCACAGCATTAACACTCAGCGCAGCTGATCTGTGCCTGCTGCAGCCGTTGGGATCCAGAAGCCGCCTCCCCATGGCGGCAGCCCTACTTCCAGGCATCTCTGCCCCGTTTTCCCGGAGCACCAAACAGCTCCACGGCCCCGAGGAAACACAACAGCTGGCCATTGCCAAAAGGACCAGATTCCCCTTCCAACACCCCAAACACCGGCAGCTCCCAGGGGCTCTGTATGCACACCTCACCCACGGGATAACCTGTTTGTGCTTCAGCTCCTGTCAACACAGCTGCAGCGAACGTACATGGAAATAAAGATGCAGAGCCATAAAGATGCATCTCTCTGGGGGTGAGATAAGCTGACGTCTGGCAGGGTGAGCCGGAGCAGCTCGTCCTGCAGCACGGCGGGGCCAAGCTGGAAGAGCAGCCCGATGCTCGGCGTCACAGCGCAGCCACCTCCAGGGCCATCGGAGCCCCGCAGTGCTGCAGGTTGGGGGGGGTCTCAGCATCCCGCTCTGCCACCCAAGAGAGCGGAGGGGACGGCGGGGCACGGCGGCTTGTTTGCCGGCAGGGGAACAGGCCGGTGCTGTAAAGGGGCATTTCGGAGCGGCAGTGACCCATTACCCCGCTGCAACGCGGAGCCGAGCGCAGCCCCAGCACCGCTCCGCGCCATCACGGCCAACCCCGCACCGCCCCGATCGCAGCGCGCGGAGGAGGAACCCCGCGGCACAACGGCCGTCCGGAGCTGCGTCTCCCGGGGCCGCCCTGCGCCCCGCACCTGCAGCCGGAGAGTGGGCGGGGGGTTCCCGAAGGACGTCGCCGTCCGGGGACACTTTCCCCGAAGACAAAGGCCCCTGGAGCAGCGCTCCCACCGCCGATTCCTCCCCGCAAACAGCCGACCGACCTCTCTCTCCCTCGCGCCGCTTTCCACCCTTCCTTTTCCCCCGCAACAATTCCCGGACGTGGAAGCCATCCGCTTCCCCCCGTTGCTGAGCTCCCGCCCAGCCCCGCGGGACCCCCCCCCCCTACCTGCCCGGTGCCGTGCCGTGCCGTCCCGTCCCGTCGGGTCGGAGCTCTGAGCCGAGCGGACTTCGCAAAACGAAAGGAAAACATCCAACAGCCAAACGCAGCCGGGGCAGTGTTTCCTTTTGCTTTGTTGGTTTGTTTTTTTTTTTTTTTCCTCCTTTCTTTCTTTCTTTTATTTTTCCTTTTCTTTTTTTTTTTTTTTTTTTTTTTTTTGTTGTTGTTGTTTCGATCTGCCTGCCCAGGAAACTGGAGCCGTGTCAGCTGGGGTCCCAATTAGAGGCTCGTTAGCCTAAACCCACAGCGGCAGCCAATGGCAGGGAGCGGGGAGGGGACGGGCAGGGGCTGGCGGAGGGTTAACCCTGCAGGGAACGCGCTCCCCTCGCATCTCGTTTTCTTGCCACCTCTCATTTTCCGAGCATCCACGCCCCGCTTCGCCCCAGGTCGGCGTTTGGATGGCTTTTATGATCCGCCACGATGTATTTTTCCTCCCTACATCAGAAAGAGCTGGAGCTTCATGAAAAGAGGGGAGGTGTCATTACGCCCCAGCGGAGAGGTGGGGAACCTCCGCGGGGATCTGACCGAGCGCTCAGCCGCAGGGCAGCCGGGATGTCCTACTTTCCTCCCCAAACCACTGAGCGCGGCTTCGGCGACGGCATCGGGGCAGGAATCGGAGTACGAGCTGGGTTGGGGCAGCGCTCCGGTTCCTGCACCGCCCTGTCGTGTTTTATATCCCTGATTTTTGAGATTTCTATTTTGCATCTGCAGTGTTTTCCCTCTACAAAAACCCCTGGGCTGGGGAAGGAGGAGCGTGCGTGTGGGGCTACAGGGGTCGGGGATGCTGAGTCCCCCTCCCTCCCCCGCTGCCACACACAGGGGACCCGTGGGGCCGCACAGCGGCGATTCCCAGGGACCCCACAGCGCCCAGCGCCGCTCCGGGGGCGGTCAGCGCAGCGGGGGCCCTCAGTGCCACAGCTCTGCACCGCTCGGTCGCCGGTGAGGACTTTGCTCCCCAGGGCCCCGCAGCCGCCAGCACGGCTGCACGGGGAGGGAGGGGGTGATGGGCAAAGCCCGCACGAGGAGACAGCGGGCCGCCAGGCTGGGGGTCGTGCAGAAGGCAGCGGCTGGAGTCGCTGTCCTGCGGGCACCGCAGGGCCCCCCGAGCACCGGCTGCGTGTGCTGGGAGGGCAGCGACTTCTCCAGCGCCACCGCCACCTCCACGCAGCTCCTGGCCCCTCTCAGCCCTCCCATCCCCTCCGGTTCCCGCAGCAGCCCCGTCCACCCATCGGTCCCTTATAATTTCCGGCTTTCCCAAAAGTCTTTTTGCGCTACTGACCCCTTCGATAGCGCTCCCTGCGCCCCGTACCCCGCAGCGCCTCCCTCCCATTCATCCGCGCTCCCCACCGCCCCCCCGGCTCTCTCGGCCCCGCCCCTCCACGTGACCCCGCCCCTCCGTCCAGCCCCGCCCACGCAGCCTCGGCGCCGCGAACCTCGCGCGCCCCCTGGCGGCCGCGTGCCCGCCTGCCCGGGGTCCTCCCAGCGCGACGCTCTAGGCGGCGGCCGGCGGACTCGCTGCTCCCGGCGGGCCCCGGCCCGGGCTGGGGGACGCGGCGCTGGTGGGTCCCGGTCCCCGACCCGGAGCTCGGAGCCCGCGGGCCGGGCAGGGGCCGGGCCCGGGTCCTGCGCGTAGCTCTGGGTCCGGGCCTCAGCTCCCGGACGGCGGAGCCGGGCAGCGCCTCAGGTACCGACCCACGGCCGGGCCTCGTCCCGCTCCGCTCCGCTCCCGCTGCCCGGCGCGCTGCGTCCCCTCCCCCCCGCGGCGTCCCCTCGCCCCACCTGCAGCTCCCCGTGTCCTCCCGCTCCATTAAACCCCTTTGTGTCCCCCGTCAACAACCCCCTCGTGCCCCCCGCTGCACCCCTCCCCCGACCCCTTAGCCCTCCCCCAGTCGCCCCGCACCCCATCCTCCCCCCGTCCCCATCCCCGTGCCGGGTTCCGGTGCTCGTTGTGTTTCTGTGGAGCCCTACGGGGTTTGGAGGGGGAGGGGGGGCTGAGCGAAGGGCTGAGCCTGGTGCCCCACCCCCCACAGGCCCCCCTTTAAGGATGGGATCTCCCTCTGCTTTTTCTCCTCGCCTTCACGCTGGCTGCAGTGAGTTTTCAGGATAGGCGATGGCTCTGCATCCCATCGCAGGGCAGAGGGAGCGCTGGAGGGAGAGGGGAACGAAGAAGAAAGAGAGGGCGAGGGTAACGTGTTTTCTGTGGGATTTTTGTTTCCGTGAGGGAACTGACGGGATGGCAGCCCCCGGAAACCGGCCTGAGGAGTCGGCAGCGGATCGGCGATCGGTGCTGAAGGTCGGTGAGGAATAAAACCACGCAGTGCCGGGATGCAGAGCGGCGGAGATGTGCTGGGTGACAGCAGCTGACAGCTCCAGCCTGCCCCACGCCAAGCCTTCCCCCACTAGAGGACTTTGCGGGATGTGGATGCAGCAGGGAGGTGTTGAAGGGCCGGAGCTCAGGCAGGGTGACGTGGAGCTGCAGGGAAGGTCGGTAGGTTGTGGCTTGATGTGAGAACCAAACAGGGGAGCCTCTGCAGCTGCGCAGGGATGTGGCCCCAGGAGTCACTGTTTGACTCGGAGGGACTGGTGAGGTGGATTCTGGTGTGACAGAGCGGGAGACTTCCAACAGCCTTTTTGTTGTATGTGCTGCTGCGGTGCCAGGCTGGGTACCTGTAAGGCCTTGGATGCAGAGGCTGTCGGTTGTTCTTGCCAAATAAAGCATGACATCTTCCCGTGTTAACTTGCTGCTGAACCCAGTGCTCCGGAGTGGGTGTGGGTCTGTTGGGATTGATTCAGAGTTGCCCTAATTTCTCACTACTGGGTGTGTAGCTCCTGTGTGCTCGGTGCTTGCACTCACTGACTTTAGCAGAGAGCTGAATTTTTGTGTTCTTTGGCATTTGTTAGTTTTCAAAGTCTGAAACAGATCGGCGGTTGTGTTCAGTTGCTGATAGGGCTGCTTGTTCTGTGACTCTCAAGGACTTTCCATCAAATGAAGACACCTTCCCGTCCCTGAGCAGCAGATGTCACATGCTCTGAGTCCTCACTGCTCTCTGCCCTTCCATCCGCTCCTCGGTACGATCCCAAAGCTGAGAAATCAAATCTCTCTTAGTTTTAGGCTTTCTAGATGTGTTTTTTTCCAAAGTTACGTCTTTAAAAGTACTAGCTGGTCTCTGCCCTTTGGGATGCACGTGCTTTCATCTCCAGTGTCTGCTCTGAGTTCTCAGTGCTGTATGTTTGCTAGAGAATGGGAACAAATGGCAAAGAGGGACGATTTGCAGTGGCCATACAAAGTGTGTGTCTGAACCTCTGATGTCTGCTTGAAGTGTGCCATGCATTTTAGGAGCGGAATTATGATCTGCATTCATTGAGGAGCACAAAGTGTGCCTTCTTCCTTCCCGTGATGTGTGAGGAGACATTCCCAGTGCCATCCCTTCCCCACATGTTTATTCTTCTTTGTTTTCTTATCTCTTGAACTGTAACTTTCTTTCCAGGTGGAAGATGGGGCCGTCTCCCTCGTGCTCTAGGTGACTCTGACACCTGGTTACCCTGAAGTCCCAAAGGAGATAAAGGGACAGTGGTAGTGGGATTTTCTCACCTTCAGAAAACCCAAACATCCAGTTGCCTAATGGTAAGAAAGCTATTATTTTTAATTAGGCTTATATTGCACAGGGTCCATTCATTGGGGGACGCACTGCAAAGCAGAAAAAATCTGAGTTCCAAACATGCTGAGCCACATGCAGGGGCACCCAGGAGGGTATGGGCTGTAAATGCTGCACGCTGGCAGGGACTGGGAGGAGCTGGTCTGAAAATTTGATTGCTCTCTATTTTGTGTCCTTTCCCCAGGGATTACCTCTCCTGCTGGCGTCATGGGGAGCTGCTGCAGTTGTCTGTGTGGAGACAACATCCCAGACAACCACCCCAGCAAATTTAAGGTAAGTATTGGACCTTCATCCCCATTATAAAATCTGTGGCAACACTGACTGCTAGCAAAGCACAGTGTGGGTTGGGCTCTAGGCATGAAAGCAAAGAAAAACTGCTCTCGCAGATAAGTCTTTCACTTGATAAGATTTGCAAATATGTTGCTTTTTTTTTTTTTTTTTTTTAATTAAGTACCCTCTGCTGCAGATATTTTTGTATTTGCAGTAGAAATTTCCTCTCTGCTGAGATTCAGCCTGAGCAAGGAAATGGAGAGCTGGAGAGAAACCTTCTATTGCTCAGGGCTGTGTTCCAGTGTCTGTGCTGAGACACATCAGCTGAACTGCTGAGCACGAAGTCTCCAGGCCTGCCGGCTCTGCGCTTTCTGCCAGCAGTGAATTCATGCTCTCAGCAGAGAAAAAGGCATCTCAGGAAATGAAGGGGAAATCCATGGGAATTACCAGATCTTTGTGGGAGGGCTTCTTTTTCTTTTTCCCTTTTCTAAACGCACCAAGCTTCCCGGTGCGAGCCGCGTGGCTTCTGCAGGTAACGAACGTGGACGATGAAGGTAACGAGCTGGGAGCTGGGGTTATGGAGCTGACGCAGACAGAGCTCATCTTGCACACTCACAAGAGAGATGCAGTCAGGTGGCCCTACCTCTGCCTGCGCCGCTACGGCTACGACTCCAACCTCTTCTCCTTCGAGAGCGGCCGTCGCTGCCACACGGGGCAGGGTGAGTGCTGGCTGATTCCTGCAGCAGGAGCTCTGGGGTTTCTGCTCCCAGGAGTGTGCTGCTGCTTGTGCTTTCCCACATTTCTGCATCTGATGAACCAGTGGGTGTTCATGCAGCCTCTGCTGCCCCCTGAACATTTGTGTGCATGCATAATCTCAATTAAAACGCTAATGAGAGTGCTGTTGTGGCTCAGAACCTAGCGGTCTCATCTTGCTAGTGCATGGGCACTTAGGAGGTTAATTGATGAACCAGGCTTGAGCTGAAGTTTCCAACAGATGGAACATATTTAATGTCAGAGTGTTGCTTACAGCCCAGCTCCAAGCTCGGTACCAGGCACTGAGCAGTCTACAGCTGTGCGTTGTTTCATGGGGTGTTAGGAAGTGCTTTTTGCAGGACTAGAGCTTTGTTCAGCCTCCTTTAACTCTGAAAGGACATCAGCTGCACTTTTTCCCAGACCCCTCTTCAGATCTGGTTATTTCGCAGAGTTCAAA